TTTAGAATTTTTTTGGAAAAAACCTAACAGTCTCCTCCCTCAGTTTTTCCCTTTCAGAGACTAGGTACCCGGGGTATCGGTCGTCGACCACGCTCTCACAAAACTCATACTGGTTTGTAAATGAGGCTTATGGCTGAGAGAATTTCAAGTTAGATAGACATAAAATAAACCCACAGATATTTTCGCTAATATGGACCTTTCTCTGTAAAAATGTTCTGGACAGCTTGCGCTAAGAAGTGACATCAAGCATATTTGGGTGAAAAACGCGAAGCAAATAGCGAACAATTCAAGAAAATTTCCCGACAGCCGGCGGACTGCTGATAGCACCGTGTGGCACGAAAAGCTTAGAAGCGGCTTTCTTAGCGCCGCAGCGTGAATTACGAAACCGGGGCTTGCTTAAGGAGGATGACGTTGTTTGATGGATAGGATGGATTTCATGTTTACAGGATTTGAGAAGTACGTTTGTACATGGTCTTGGGCGCCGGCTGCAGATATGGTTGCGGTTGCTCAAATAGTAATGTTAGAGGCGAATTAGTCAGTTGCCGAAGTGAGAAGTGGTGATTCGCACTTGGTTGGTGATGGAGGCACCGACGCACGGAAGCTGCGCCTGAATGGGAGGATGGAGTTCACGACCGTTAGGAGTGTGCATTATTGCTTTTGCTATGCGTTTGTCTTAATGTCGGTTGGGGTTCGTGTTTCATTGCAATGGCGCAAGAGTGAGTTCGCAAGGACTACCCGGCGAAATGTTAACCACTTTGGGAAGCCTTGTCGAAGATGAGATCTTTCGGAGATGGATGGCCGGGAAATCGCCATTAGGTCTCAGCCTGATGAAGTGCAACACGTGAATGGTGCACTCGAATAACGCGCTCGAGCGCTGAACGGCAAAAGTAAATACGGACCCAAGTCCACATAAGAAAGAATCCAGGTTGTTCATAAGGCATGTGAATAGCTGAAGAAGTTGCAGGCCGCCGCTGCATCAATCCAGTGCGGTGCGGTTGATGGTGAGCTAATGCTTGGTTTTTTACCCATGGTTCAGATTCAGCTGCGATCCGGAATGCAGAGGCGTGTAATGTAGAAGCGTGGAGTTAGTGACTGCATATTTTGTCCACCGGCTAGATGGACATAGCTAGTTACAGGATAGCTATTTTTGAGGAAAACGTTATCTTGGAATTAAGAGTGCACAAGATTAAACTTGCTTATGAGTAGGCCAGGAACGAGAAAGTCATTGCTTCTCTTGGGTACATCTAGAAACCCTTAAGTGTCATCATTTTAACAAGATTCGTTCGAGCCGCTAACTTCAAGCTATTCTCAGATTCAGCAATTCTCATCCGTGGCGATTACCCAGCTGACCACCGGTCCCCGCAATTCGTCCATGCACGCAAGTTCTTTAATTCTGCAATTCATCCAAATATTTTTGTGAGCGAAGCTCAATACCTATACACCGTCCGCAAGACCATCGTCTCCCTCTTCCCAAAGCGTGGATTTATCGTTGTACAGAGTCACCGGGATCCTTAGTTAGGAGAAGATTTTTCGCGAAAGACTTGGTCTCCACTCGTGGCCGAACGGTTCAAACTACTAGCCGGGAGGTCGCGGGTTCGAGGCTCCTCGGAGTTTCGGGAGACGCTCACTGCTGATGATTCCCAATAGGGATGAAACAGCTGTGGAGTGCTTCTCGGCTTTTCAGCATAGATTGGCTTCACTTACAGGACGAAATCTCCACAAAAACTTTGTCTCCTGCTTACCAGCTCGATGGTGACCTCAACTAAGTTTGACGTAAGACTATCATAATCATCGCGGTTTTTACTGCACCAAGATACCGTTGCTCTCCTACGGCATTTTAATTACTAAAAATCTGCTAGGTAAGGTTTCGCATCTCAGAAGAAACACTGAAGTGAAACGGATACCAACGGTGCCTGAATACGCCAGTGGAGCGGGATGTTTTTTAACGTTTTGCGAACAGTTTTGGACTTGCCTTGGAGTTAACATACCAGGTGAATTGATTCCAACCCAAGATATTTTGACAGCTGAATGAGCAAGAGAGATTAACGTTCGTCGTAAGACGTGTTCCTTCTCAAAATTTTCAAGTCATCAGATCAGCACCAGCTCTTAGTGGGATGGGGTACTAAGGCGAAACAAATAAAGGTTGTTTGTTTCACATTCAAAGTTCGTATATTTGCATCATCCAGCTTCAAAAACCTGCCGCTCTGTAACGTCGACCAGTTGTGTTCGGATCAGATCTGTCAATCAATTAAACGAAGCCTAAGTTACACATAGTTGTTCATGTCACATTGCCGGCAGTGGCACTTGTAAGAGTGAATGTCGAAGCACAGGCGGCACTCGATTGTCGATCCCAGGCGCCGTGTCCCAGGTTGGCCATTTGGAGCACGTGCGCTGGATCGGTGTCTTGTGGAAAGAAGACTGGCACAAAAGAGCTTAGAGAGCGCGCATGATCCTATCATATGCTGTACGATTTCGCATTCTGCAGTGCCAGCGGCAAGATCGAAAAGTTGGAACACTCTAGTGCTGTGAAGATTGTTCTGCGTTTCTCAGTATCCTCGATGGTAGCGCGTAAATTTTGGGAAAAATAAATAACCACAAAAACTGCGCCATTGCATAGATTGGAATGGCCGCCTCTCACGATGGCGTGAAGAGCAGAACTTTACGAAACACACCGTTCGCCGGTAAAAATTGGATCGGAGATAGGTGAGTTAGAGTTCTGGTACTGGCTCTGTCGAAGTCTGCCTGGGAAGGGACAGTACCCACGGGGGACAAATCGACACGAGAATTGGATGAGCGTACGAGTCCAACTTTAGGCCTAGGACGCATACGTTACCTTATTGAGGACAGTGAAATACGTTGGACCAATGATACCTTTGAACCGTTTGGTAGCATGTCACGCGTGTACAGGTTTGTTTCGGGACTCAGGAACTGAGGCTCTTGCTGATGACAAGGACAGTGCACCTTATGTAGGGACAGACACGCGTTCACCTCACTCAAGTTGGACGTGGGGACAGAGTATGGTCTAAATGTGTAGCAATATAAGTGTTCTGCAACTGGTGTGGTTTGGGCCTCTGCCGCGGACAGCAAGTGTTGTGGGAAGTGGAGGGCAATGCCAGCTCATTGAGGCAGTTAGAGAATCTACAGTAGATGCCACAGATCTAGAATAAGAAATGAGGGGATTGGATGGTGGGGTGGAATGGTATGATGCTTTCGTTTGACTCAGAGGTAGCAGGTGAAAAGATGGTCGGGGAGCTGCAAAATATGAAAATTGGAAGCCGGCATGGACATACTAAGAGGAGAGGTGCGCATTTGGAAACTCAGAGTACTGTTCTAGAGGCCAGGCGCTATTTTCGAGGAGTTCAAGCAGGCCCAGGTTATCCTGTCAGCCCCATTCTTAAACTGTGGCATTATCACGGACGGCGTCTCCGGATTTGTCACGGAAAGCGAAAAGCTCTCTGCACCATTCCAATATCCGGGAGATAAACGGGCTACTTCGAGTTGGCGAGGAGCGTGGTTTAGCCCGGGGACATCTGGCTCCCAGTAAGTGATCATGGTGGTCGTCAAACAGGTTCTCCACGTGAAGCATGGATTCAATGAAAACTGATAGCGCTATAAAGAACGTGGTCTGGCACAGCGGACTACGCCACGCAGATGACTTGGCATTTAGGGAGTAAAGCCGGTTTATAACTAGACTCCGGATAATCTTTTGGGAACGAAGGATCCCGTTTCACTAACCGCTTATTTTGGGGTTGACTAGCCGCTTGGCGGTGCAATAATGAACATTTTAGAGGACAACATTGCTTTAATGGATTTTGGGTTTTATTATGCAATTCCGAGAACCAACAGGATAACGTCTTCCATGACGATAAATTGTCATTGAGCCAGGTATCTGAGGAAACTGCTTAGTAGTTTCGCTATTGTGTGTTTACCACCCTATTCTTTGAAATGACCACTGTGACTTACGTCCACGACTGCAATACCAGGAAATATTAGGAGATCAGCTGCACGTTGCGCAAGGTCTGAAGTTTGGTTGGCTATAGAGAAAACAAAATCCCAGGTCCGTAGAATACGCCCAAGCTGAGGGTTGCAACAAAGCTCGAAAGTGTCTCGTTATGCTTTGAACAGGGGCTTAAAATGTGCACAACATTGTTACGAAATGGTGAAAGATAGGGCAAGCTTATCTCATACTGAAGGTGAAAGCGTTGTACGGAGTTCAGCATTAGCACAATGGAATTGATTTTCGAAAGCTAGTATGTGTCTCTTATGGGCCAAAACAAACAGGTAAATGGGTTCATGATACCAGTTCAAACTTTTGAGCCAGTGGAATCCGCCAGTGGAATCATTGCTTTAGTCGACAATGAAATTCGGCAACCTGTAAAACTAAAACTGCCAGGCAATTTAGTTCAGAGTACCATGAGCCCCATGTAGGTATCCCGAGGTCTCAGCGATGTTAGCGAAGTACTCCACCAGCCTCTCCTCAATAGGAATGATCGCCTCAGAGCACGACCAAATTTTGCGAGTTTCAAAAATATGATTGTACATTAGATTGGGTTTTGAGGTGAGCACATACGCAACAAAATGCGACATTTTAACACAAAGATCATTGTTTCAAACTCAAAAGTTTTGCAACTGAGACCATTGTGCCGCTAATGGGCCTCTCCTCTACCCCTCATGCACAATTTTGTACCCGGCGCGCTGCCACCTGAAGCAGATATCTTCAATTGCGACATTTAACACAAAGATCATTGTTTCAAACTCAAAAGTTTTGCAACTGAGACCATTGTGCCGCTAATGGGCCTCTCCTCTACCCCTCATGCACAATTTTGTACCCGGCGCGCTGCCACCTGAAGCAGATATCTTCAGACCGTGCTTCCGACACGATAGAAGTTTTCACCTCTTATGATTCCAAACCGAGCCTCAGATTTCAGGTTGGACATAGGCCTAGAGAACTGATTCGAGTATTGCGTTTGAGTGCGTTGTTCTCCGCGGTGGCAGTTCAGGCGGCCTTCGAGAAATTGCCTTCCCACGTGATGGTAGGTTCCGTCGTTTCAGTGACGATGTTCGGCAGGCGGCTCGTGCATTTAAAAAGTTCATGCCCCTTTTTGATCGCGTGTTGGTTCAAAGGTTCGAGGCTGAAGTCAAGAGCAAAGGTGGGATAATGCTACCTGAGAAAGCCAAAGGAAAAGTTTTGGAAGCCACCGTGGTCGCTCACGGCCCTGGATTTAAGAACGATGTATGTCATTCATTACTCTTCGTTGACCTTATCAGAAAGGTGAAATAGTTCCCGTCTGTGTTACTGTAGGCGACAAAGTTTTTCTCCCTGAATATGGTGGCACGAAGGTGGTTTTGGACGAGCAGGCAAGTTTCTTCACATGTAATTTATCAACCCTGCAGGAATATTTCCTATTTCGGGAAGCTGACATACTGGCCAAGTTCGAATCCTGAACAATACTGGTTTGATTCTGTAGTTGCCCTTCCATTGTACAATTTCTGATCCGATTAATTCAATATAGCTAATATTTTGCGCCAGTCATGTATCTTATAAGGCGCCGACTTCGTTATCGGAACATGTGACGAGAACTATTGTTTTTCTGCCTCCCATAGGGTGGTTCGAATAGGTGGTCTCGATGTCCTAGGTCCCATGCTTCTGCCGGAGGCAGTTTGCGCATAGCATAATTAGGATGTCTTAGGTTCGTTTGCTATATACGGCAACACTTCAGAAATCCGTTAACCTAGAGTAGCGGGAGTCAAGCAAGGACTTGTTGCCTGCGCGACCGTGAGTTCCGTCACCTGCAGACCTGTGTTATTTCGGAACCGTGTGTCGCAGAATGTCCCTAAGGTTACAAGCAATGACCGTTGCTTCGTGCACGGGAATCCGCTTATTCATCCGAGGGTGTGGCACAGGCAGGTTTAGTTTCTTCGACGTCGGTGTCGACATTTCCGTCGTTGACTACTTATATAGGTCTGTCACCCATACCGCGTTACTTGGGCGGTAGTTCTCAAGCTCAACGCGCGAAAGCGGGCTAACTTGGCTTTCCACATTAGTAGCACGAAGTGTTGTTCGCGGCCCACATCGCCTGTTTAGGTTTCTTTGGTGTTGGACGATCGCTTCCAAACATGACGTTGACCCACCAGTGGAATTCAGTATAGGACAGAATGAGCTCTCAGTGGTCAGGACACGGAAGTCACACGACATGGTCGAGTGTCATCCACAAAGTGCTTATGCCATAAGCGAAGGAATGAGCTTTTTGGAAGTGTAGCAGTCGGCACCATGTCGAGACAGCAAGTGCTGGAGTGTAAGTGTTATACTTAATCGGTTCTACTGGGTTGAATGTGTAGTACGTAGCATGCCTCAACTCAGACACGGGAACTCATCAGTACACGGGTCCTCGGAGCTCAGAGAGGTGGAGTCAGGTTCCCAAGCATTGAGTGGGGAGTGCAGTGATGTGTAGAAAGGAGGACGACCTCTACATGCCGGGATGCGTTAAGCCGCGTCTCAGTACACTCAGGTTCACAGGAGGAACGGTGAGAACGTCACTAAGTTGTTTGTCCAGTAGCATTGTTAGAGTCCGAAGCAACCCGAATTTTAGGGCGGAAAGCCACCAACTGGAATGCCTTTCTTCCGAAGGTTACAGGCTTCCCAAATGCACCTATGTATGCTTGGGCATTGTCTTTGTCTCTCAACTCTCGTGCCTCTGACTTGCATGGCATAGCATAGTGACTATATTTTGTCTTTGTGAAGTCTTTACCGGCGTTTGTCAGCTTAGGTGCACCTAACGGGCGAACGGCTCGCTGACAGAAATGAAGTCTCTTGAGGTGTTGATCGTCCTGTGTGGACAAATGCAGAGCTTCCGCTTTTTCTGGTAGCAGACCACCCTGATCGCAAATCCGGAGGGTAGAAGCCGGTATGCATGATGGGGTCACGTCCCCACAGTATAATAATAATGCGTGAAAGATTGGCAGGCTCGTTGGACGGTTGGTCTTACGGTGTCGGTCCGATACATGGGTATTAGGCCGCCGAGGGCGCCACGCGAAAGATGGACTGTCCGCCCTGGAAGCATGAACCTGCTACTACTCTTTCGGTTCGAGATAGCCTAGTGGTTAAGGCGCTAATTTACGGACCGGAGGATCCGTGGTTCGAACATGACCACTGCACCTCGACCGCTCCTGTCTAGGCTTGGGCGGCCTAGCAGAATCCCACCACTTGTGCCTCTTTCCGTTATCATGGCAACTAGGCGCCAAAAGATTGCTACCTGCGAACAACTTTCGACCTTTTCGGGAACCCAGAATTCATGAGTTCCAGACATGGGCAGCTGATTCCATGTGCGGTCGTATCAAAGCACAGAGGATCCGGGGCTATTTCTTACATTGATCCGAGAGCTCCCCAGGGAATTCTAAACGGCGGAGTCGCCGTGGTAGGTCAGTTCGGCTCGACAACCGTGTGTGATGTTCGGGTCGTCGCTGCTTATGGCAGCAGCTGGCGTAGTGGAAGAGGTCTAAAAGAACATTTGAAAAAAGAAAAGAGGAAGGGAAGTCGTGAAATCAAAAGAATGAAAGTAACACCGGTGACACTGGCGTTTAGTTAGTACTTCCAGCTATTGATGTGACGCGTCTTTGATATCCCGATCTCGTGGCGGCATGCAACAATGCATACAAAACCCCTTATTGTGTTTTGCAAGCTGTCTCCAGATGATGCTCGGGCTACTTTGTAGTATATTTCAGTGAGAAGCTGTCTTAACGCTAAATCTTGCGTTAAGACCACTCGACCGAACCGGCGAAGTTAGTGTAGCAGAATGAGCACGTAATTTGGACAGCTGTTTCGTCTCTATTGTTTCCTAAGTTGAAGAAAAGCAGAACGGGATTTATCGATTGTGGCATCCACTTCGTCAGAGCGCTTTATCTTGGATGATACAGTTACGTAGGTGGGTATATCTACCCATTACTTCTTGTGGTTCCGATGTTACAACTAGTTTCAGTAGTGCATTTGCCCAGCGCTTCATTTGAACGCTGCACTTTGATGGTTCAGAGCGCGTAGAGCTTACTGACCCGGAGGTCCGTGGGTCGAACCCGACTCCAACACCTCGACTGCCTCTGTACAGGATTGAGTAACCTAATCTCAGCCACCGTTCAACAGGGCAGCACCAAGGTGAACGTTTTTTTACATAAAATCTTACATGGGGTAATATGAAATCTAGCCCGCAACTCATCACCATCATCATCGATCGCGTGACATCGGTGCTCAACACGGATGCTTCTCTGCCGTACAACCATGATTTATTTGTAAGTCTTATTGAGAAGAAAAGAATTAAGGTGAACGGAGATGGGGCTACCTTAGTACAATCATTCCGAGGTGCATATACCTCCAAGGACCCAATCAGGCAATCTGGATAGAAACTGACAATAAGAGCGCCACTGACATCGGTTGGCAGCCATACCTTACAGTGTCTCCAACCAGGCGCAGTGGGGATCACGCGGTCCCCATCCTGGACGGCGAGTATCACCGACGTCACCCAAACGTCTCGCGGTTCCTTTCATACCCCTTTTGGTAGCTGCTTCGGTATGTCAGAGAATTCGCGCGTGTGCGTGTCTGGCAGTAAACTCGTACTGTCCTCTGTGATAGGATTATAAAGATAGTAAAGTGTTCCCACAGGCGACCAGCATATCAATAATCATTGAAGTAGCGATACTGCCTTCCCCCGAGGAAGGAAGGGTTAGAAAAGGTCGGTTCGTAATTCCGCACGCTCCGATCGCCCAACGGTTGGCCGCGACCGCCGGTGCACATGACACATCACGAGTGAGAGAGTAATGCCTAACTCGGTGCGCTCTTACGCTGGGCCAAGCTGCTGCAGCTGACCAGCTCAGACTATTGAGTCATTGACTCCGGGAATGGTACCCCCAAAAGAACCTGACAACCACTGCCTTGTGGATCAGTTTTTCGAGTCATACGCTAGGGGTAGGGTCCGGAGCAAAACTTGTGGACCACAGTTCTCTTAGTGCCTTAATGCCATGAACCCCAGTCTGGATAGCCGTTTGATAGCCTGACGCACTTAGCCAAAGCAGAAATGAATGTACAAATCAGCTGATCTATTGAACACAGGCGTGTTAAATGCAGCCGAAAATGGGCTATTTATAAAGATCGCATGGAAAGTTCCAGGCGGGTCGAAAAGTGATACTAAAAACAGAACTCATCTGTCAAGGGAAAGTGAAGAGCAACCAATTAAACCTGTCTTAACGGAAACGGTTATTACACTATCAATTGTGTAGTCCAGTTGCGTTTGGGGCTGGTTCTCCTATTAAAAACCCTACATCTTCCCACTTTCTATTGGGTAAGGCTTTTGAGTCAAAGGCTCAAGGTGAGGCATTTCAACCAAACCCCCTTCCTCGACCTGGGCAACCAGGAAGTATCATTTGCCCGCGCAGTTCAGCGTCCACCGATATCCCTTCCCACCGCACAAGCAAACGTCGCTGGGCCATTTGACTGACAGCCATTTGACCGAAGGGCCTTAGGCTCCTCGCTGCCCACAAACATTAAACAAAATAACACCTTTCTAAACCTACGAGATCCTTTCTACATAGGAGCTTTTGACGTCCGTACTCTGTCAAATTGGCAAACAGGCAATGCTTGCTGAAACCTTGTACTCCCTTAGAATCGACGTATGCTATGTCCCCGAAACACGCATACAAGACCCGAGCGTGGTTATGCATCTCAACGCCAAGGATGAACTCAGCTCTTTCACATTTCTCCCTCCGTGTGTCCGGTGACCCAGAAGCGATGACTCGTGGAATATATGGCGTGGGAGTTGCCCTCAGCCCCAGAGCTGAACGCGCTTTGCTGGATTGGATCCCAGTGAACAGTAGTCTGCGCCGTCCGGTTATTCAGTTCAATCAAGCTCAGCGGCTGTCGGCATAAAAAGGGGTGCTTGTTTGTAGTATCGGCTTATTCCCCAACGGACGGCAGTTCTAACTCTGAGAAGGATCCTTGTATTGAGAGTTATCCGCGCACATTCGTGAAGCGAAAAGCACTGACACTGTGTTAATTGCGGGTGATGTTGCACAAGTCTGAGCTCCTTGGAGTCATATTTGGGCGGTCGATTGGAGTCAATGGGTGAGATGACCCCAGTGTTTAGAGTGCGGATTTACTGACCGGAAGGTCTGTGGTTCGAGCGCGACCTCTCGACTTCCCCTGTCTAGGCTTAGGCAACCTGGCAGCTTGGATCCAAGCTATTGCCTTTGGTGCATATCTCTCTTCCCAACCCCCACTTAAGAGTTCTCTGGTAGTGCTGTATTTACGCACTAATTTATCAGCTCCCGACTTCCACCTCCTCAAATCATCGGCGAACGAAACTGGCAGCTACAACCACCGTACGATAAGTACCGTCTTATAGTGGACACTTACTCTTATGATGAAATTGTAGTCCGACTGATGTATACCACTGAGATTGGGGTATAGGTTTCACCACTTCAGTAGTTGGGGCTACTACTCGACTCGGTCGTCCGGGATGCTGTTTTATTCAGTTGCCAATTCCCGGTTATCGTTTTCCCTATCGGTTTTCTACATCCTCGAAATTCCTTCCATCGCGTGCTGTCTTCTGCGGTGATCGAATAACAATGCCTGAATACAAGGTCCGTAGTAGCTGCACTGAACCTCAGGTAGTCCGGCACTACTGACTTGCTTGTAGGTATTCCTACCGTTGTTCCACTGTAGACTAGTGACAGTGGTAAACTCAGTGAACATATTAACTCTAGCAGGGCATGACGCAATGGACAACCACCATTTTTAGCTTAAGGCGATTTACTGACTGAAAAGTTTCCAATTCAGACAAATCCAAAGCTTTCCAGTCACTCTTGTCCAGGGACTATCTTGCCTGTCATGCTGTCTCTGATCTGTATCGTATTGAATATGTGTATAACTCCACCTTTGGATCCAAGAAGGGAATATGATTGATCGGTACTCGGGGACTACTTACCTGCTGGCTCCCATGAAAGGCGAAACCGGTAGTGGTTGTTGAAGAACTCCTAACAACTTTGTGTAAGTAGTGTCGGGTCAATAGTGATGTTTGTCTTTCCACTCATGTCGGTTTGCAGCAGTGGCTTGTAATACCGCAAACGACATTGGACTTCGGAGTCCCAAACTCACACAATATTCTTACCAGAGTGATAATCTTATCCAGAACCACGTAGTCCACTTATGGTCACCATGGAACTATGATTTTAATGAGAACTAGGAGTTGATCGGGGAAGCCACTTTGGATATATTTCGTGGAGAGCAAATCACGAAAATTGCCTTATCCGGTTTCATGGTGGTCCTCGATTGCCCTACAATCTGTCAACGAAGTGACAAAAAAAGTAGTACTTTCCTTGAGTCGAGCAAGTTTGCTCACAGCTACTCCGTTGCTGAACCCACCAAGGACTGCATCACTCAGGCCATTTTGTATTGTTTGACCAAGTAACTAACGAAAAGCAGCTTGTTTCAGCGTGGAAATTCATGTGGTAGGCTGTAGTTATTATTCGGTCCCTACGCAGATTGTTGAACAAGTACATTGTACAAAGTCTCTGCTTTGAAGGCTGCCATTTGAGATCACGCACGACCGAAAACCGACTCATTCAGATGTTGCATACTTGGCCTTGTTGCCGTTTAGGTGTGACCGACACTGTTGATCGGAAAGAACAGACCAGGTCAACTATTAGACATTATAACAACCTCGGGCCGTAATTTTTGTACTTTGATGGTCGCTGAGTGGGTCGACCGCTAGCAACACGCGCGCTGCGAACCCGATTGCAAGTATGAATTGTCCAATATTAAGTAGCGATCAGCCGCTGCAGGGTCGATTTGACGTGGTGGATTTGGTAGATTTGGTCGCAGAATTCGTTTTTGAAAATCCCTAGATTCGGATGCTAGAATAGGGCAGTGAGAAAGCTCTCGGGTGCTTAGCGAAGATCACTAAGCTGAAAGAGGTAAATGCTCATAGAAGGACAAGCATAGCAAACGCCATCGGCTTCCGCTGAATGTTTTGGGGCAACCCCGTCTGAGCGATGTTGTCAGACTTCTCGGCAGTCCGGCAAGAGATAAAGAGGTTCGGCGATATTGGACGGTGGAGCGATTGGCATAGTACACCAAAAAGAGACATGTTCAAGCTAAGACGACCGAAAATAATGGAGAGACGTGCCCTTTCAGTCGGAAGATGCTGATCGTTTATCGCTCCCTCTAACTGGAAGTCATGATGTCCTCGACCTGCACAATGTCCTTTGCTGGCGGTGTGGACGCAGCTGATTTTTTTCTCAATAGAATCTCCAGAATGCCGTCAACGCGTTCAAATGTTGAATTAACGAAAGGGGGCATTCTGTTTGCGCCAACCTGATGGCAGAGTCAATTGCTATATTTGCCCATTCACTATCATTCTCATGCTGAGATTCCCCCCACGTTGTATATGAGATATCTCAACAAAAATCCTGATGCTATCCAACAGGAGTATTGATAGAAATCTAGCGATGCATCGGTGTGAATATGCTCCGAAGGGTTTGTGCAACGCTCCGGGACCCATTTTAAAGGTTGAACAGCTTGGTTGTTTTGCCCTAGGGTCGATCTTGTTTGTTCTCGCTCTTCACCATAATAACTACCTTGAACCGATATAACTACTCAGCTGTTATTAGGACATAGTTGCCGATTCTAAGCATGCTCGTCCCAAGACGCGGGGGGTCAAGGAGTGTCTCGCAAAGGTCGCAACGTTTTTTTCTATCAGAAATGGTTCTCCATATGAAAATGACCGGTGACAATTCTATTGGCACAGGAATGTCCAACTAGAAAGATAAGACAACATATTAAACAACTCGTGAAATGGTTCCCATATGAAAATGACCGGTGACAATTCTATTGGCACAGGAATGTCCAACTAGAAAGATAAGACAACATATTAAACAACTCGTATCTTGGTACAGTATCCACTGTGCGGGTTTCAGTAAGAAATGTTCCATCATGTCTCCGTCTTTTAGACTTTGGGCTGATTCCGTCCGGCTCTCTTCACTTATGGTGTTCATCCTTCATGTAGGCTGGCCATCCTCTGCATGTACATTAAAGTTTGTTGCAGGTTCGAACGGTATTTGAAAATACCGATTTTACTCAACCTGGCCTCTTCACTAGACGACTACTTGGTTGAGCAGCAACTCTATTTTCAATCAAGCATTTCAAAGGTTGGCTGTCCACCGTGTAGTCCCTTGCACTGATATCCTACTCTACAACGTCTGTGACCATGCAATGGCCATTTCCGCATGCTGGCGAACGTTTTTCACTCTGTGGTACTTTTTATGGCTCCTCATCTTGGCAGATGAACACATCTCCTTATCATTGACGATAATAACTCAAAACGGTTACTTGACTATTGCGTTTATCTAGCTTCGACACGATCTGCCACTAGCCACGGATGTGCGCTACCCTATGTTTTCGCTCATTTCCGGAGAATGAGCTCGTCCGAGTTACTCCTAGCGCTTCACTTTCCCCTGTTGCGGAAGTTAATTAACTGCACACTACCAAATTCAAGTGACAATGTCACATGGTCGTATTTAGTTTTCGTCCCTTTCAAATATGGCTGGATATGTTTTGCGTTGATTGGCAGCAGTTGAGCTGACCAATAGTTCTTACGGATATCACAACTAAGAATGACTCAGTTCGGCCGTTGGATGTGCACGCTTTGCATGGTTGAGTTCGGCGAATTCAGCAGCAATATATAAACCATTAGTGCGTAAACAGCACCTGAGACCGGATGCAGTCTGGTGATGACTCCGAGACCAATTTGGCCTTTGCCGGAGTGTGGCTATCAGTGACGCACATCTATTTAAGTGCGGTTCTACTGAGGGCGTCACCGCGCACAACACCACAGACTAAAAACGAAGACTAAAGCTACGGCAGTCAGTTGTAAAGTCCCGCCAAAGTGATCATAGTTTGATTTTCAGTGACTCATCACATCGCAAAATGTCAAAATAAGACTGAAATTTACACATCTAACCCATACTGTTAGTAGCTCGGAACGAATAATGCACAAGTTGCGTGAACATTCAAACTGAGATGTTATCACCCATGATGTGAATTCCGTGGCTGAAGGTGTTAGTGCACAGGTGGTGATAGCCATAATACAAATCAGGTGTATGCACTACTAAAAGTTTTTAACTGTGATTGACAGTTGTTTACAGGGGCGATTTGCAGCATGTATAAAATAAAGAGCAAGTGGAGCAAGCCAACAGGGAGAGTCCCTTGGTAAATGTCCGGACAGCGGGAATGTGTTTCCTCCGCAGTTTGGCTGCTACACGTATTCCATGTTTGTCCGTGGACTTGGAGTGTTTGGCTGACTCCTTGCTGCCTGCGCGCGCGCGAGTCTGCGTGTGCTGACGGTTTCCCTATATGTAGGTCCGTTTGCGCGTACGTGGGCGCGTCAGCACGTGAGTGGTTGGTACGATCACTAGACGGTGCAGACAATCGACGTCTGATGAGTCACCTTAATGTTACGTGGTTGTGGGCATGAAAAAGAGACAAGTCTCGTGAACCAGTGAGCGACTGTGGGCTGAACAGTCAAGTGTGTGGGCGACTGGGTCGCTACAAAGGATCAATGGCGGTGTATCCTGTCTAACCGCTGATGAGCTGCTCGTGATCGGACGATTTAATGTGCGACTACTAGCCGGGAGGTCGAGGGTTCGAAACTCTTTGGAGTTTCCTGAGATGTGACCTGCTGATAATTCCCAATAAGGATGACACAGCCGAAGTGTCTGCTTTTCGCCGTAGATTGACTTCACTTGTGAAATGAAATATAGACTGAAAATCCAGTCCATGTGTCAATGCCAAGCTCGGAATGAAGTCTTAACCAAGTAATGAAACAACAGGGCTGGTGCATCCTCCTAGGGATTGCTCATCAGTACGCGTGGTGTAATTTCAAACCTGTGACATTTTGACGGAGAAGTTGTACGGTGGATTTTGCGCTACGTGTGGCCCATCAACGAAGTCGGTGGGTCTTTGTATAAGGTTTTGATTCGGCACACCAATGATGCGCGTGCTAGGGAGCACAACCATGGACCATGGACTGGGTTGTCATGCGTAAACTTAGCACAATTTCTAAAAACAAGTAGAGCAGGAAGGTGCTTGTTTTATTATCTGTTTGTTTGGTTTACTGTACCCATTGACTTTATTTCGATGACCTTTCCGACGCGTCCGCGTTTCAGGATAAAGTGAGACTGCACCTTCAGGGATATGTCCTTTTGACTCCAAGCATTTTCAGATCTTGAGATGGCTCAGTGGGTAACGAGCAAATTTACTGCCGGAAAGTCTGTGGTTCGGACCGAACCGCTGCATCTCGACTGGTCCTCCCAAAGCTGGGGCAACCTGGCAGTATCTCAGCCCTCGCGATTCCTTCAGATGGTGTGGCAGTTAGGCAACGAAAGGGTGTTACAGCTGAGTGATTTTCCACATATCCTCATGTGAACTGACACTCGGTGAGTAGGTAGTTCAGAGGTAGCGCAAGGATTCCGTTTTGGTCCTTTGAGTGTACTTTTGGGTCGTGATCATCTGTTCTGCTTCGACGTGACCTGTTTATCAGGAATTTCTCCCCATACGATCGTGAGTTGATGTGAATATCAGAGAGAGCTCAATACCTAATTGACATGTTTCAATGTGTAAAGCAACATCAGTCCACGCCGAACTGCTGAGGAGCACCGATGGTTGTTTAACCCTTGTCATCGGAATGGCAAATCTCACTAATTCACCGGCGAACTCGTCAGTATCTTTCAGTTTTTGTGTTCAGCAGTCCAAAGCCCCCAGCAAGTGGTTAAAATTAATTAGAATATTGAAAAATGTCAACATTATATAGGAGCATAACACTGAGTCTGACGTAATTAGGTGATGCATCAAAGCTTTCCCGGAGCTCTGATAGGAGTCAAATTTCTCGACATCCAAATATTTCGTTTGGAAATTCAGAAAGACTGACAGAACAAGACACTCAAGCGAATTTCGGAGAACAGCCCATGAGGAGTAGATGAACGAAATAACTGTTCAAACAATCCATATGGATGCATACTACTATGCATGGTGAATAGACGAGTTTAATTTTTTGGGTGTTGATGATTGCGCGATCTCGTAGAACAAATACACATGACTTTGGTCCTCTTGTCCTTACGCAATTGTCCTGGAGAGCCCAGACCAAAGGGAGGAGGAGAGCGCTGGGCTCCAATTTTGCTCTTGTTAGAGCTCATCAGCAGTGCATATCCGTGGCAGTGCCGGGGTTCGAACCTCGCACACATGTGAGGCGAATGTGTTACTACTACTCCACTAAAGCACGCTGGACTCATTCAAATGTTCGCGCTTGAGTAATGTGAGCAGAACGCCTCAAACGACGACCCAGCAACACCTTGGTTGTGTCGATCGATTGACCCGCCAATCAGGACTTCCCGGCCAGGTGGCGCCAAAGACGCTTGAAACATGCTGGACAAATTTTTGTTTCAGGTGTTGGTGGTCGCGGGATTTTGCAGAACAAACACTCACATGACTTTCGTTTGAACTGTCGTTCTCCTCGTGCTTGAAATTGTGCTGTTGAACCGTGAACCACAGCGTAATGTATAGTCCTCAGGATCTGTGAACAAGCGGAGCGGTTACCACTCGTCACACCTGATTCGTATTGGAACGACTGTTTCACCACCTCAAATTGTCGACAAAATCTGTGAAATCAATTTGGTCAATTTCCAAAATCGAGCCTGTCGAGGGATGCCGTCAGATTTGGGAAAACTTGGATGATTTCACTGAAATGAGAATAACTCGTTTCCACCGTAGAGGTATTATAACTGGCAAGTGATGCAGGAACTTGATAGACTGTGGTCGCGACTGCATCAAAATTTACTCTGAATATTATACAGTGATTTTGCTATGGAAATGAGACCGATGTTTAACCTAGTCAGGCGGGGAAGGGAATTGGCTCAAGTAATTTTTCATTCGCACTGTGATTATTTACTGAACGGAAAGGAGTGCATCTCACGACGATCTGCGAAGGCTTCGGATAAAGTCGGATTCAAGGAGAGTGAACAATTGAAAACATGCTATGACCTCGAGTCCCTCTACTAGTTGGGCTTTTTTCTAATTTCCAACTAATTCTATCAGTACGTGATGGACAACAACGGCTCACTTCACGTCTGGTGTCATCATCGGTCAAATAGTATCGGTGTGCTTGCTGGTCTGAGTGGTCCTTTGTTTAATCTAAATTATAGACAAATGTGGACGAATAATGCACATGAGTTTTCAGCCTCAAAAACGACGGTTGCCGGTTATCAGAACCAAGAAATCGTGTACGTACGCGTCTCTTCATGGACTCACGTGCAAAGATTTATCAGTACTCACCAGACGCTAATGGTCTGACTGATACAGATACTGTCTTTGATAAGGCACGTTTTGTGCGGTGTGTCTGCTACCCATGAAAGGAAGAAGGCCTTCGCTGCGGAGTTACTTATTAGAAAACACCAGAGTATTGAACAGGGAAGCAAAGCTCTCAAATGCACCTTGTTTACAAAACTGAATATCCATCTTCCCCTTGAACGCATCTTCTTGAACTTTCCTGAATATTCACTGACTGCTGCTCGAATGCAAGCAAGTTCGACTCCACACATCAAGAGACGCTAAGCGGATTTACGAGAAAACATGCTACTCGCATGCCCCCCATCAGTAATATCTACCGCTGCACCCAGACAGGGGGAGCACATTTTTGACCTGATTGATTAATGTAGGCTAATTTGGCACGATCGTCAAATCACACTTGTCAGAAGTCTTTGGCTGTGGACGCTTAATATGGTGTGCGAACTTGGCGGCTTTATTTAAATCAAGATGCGCTTGTCCTGACCATATTTACGTGCGCGCATTAACTCGAGGCTAGTGCTGTACTGGTTAGACCAGGTTGATTCACAGACTTACACGAATTAGCTGTGAAACGACCAGAAAGACAAAGAACAGCGACAGACAAGATCAGGTCTTATGATGCCACAGCAAAGGAAGTCCACATGATGGTTCAGAGTGGCTGGCGCTTATTTCACCGCCTACCAAGTCCTGAAAAAGACTTAGACTCTGTGTGCACTTGAAAGAACCAAGAATCCATGGTCGTGTGTTGAATTCTTGATGTATTTTCACAGTGGTGTTACTGCCCCGATCGTGTTTGGCGACAAAGTTGTCTTTCATACCTTAGCAGATCATTATTCAATCTCCAATTTGGGGCCCAGGACAATCTCAGGTGATTTTCCAGGCGCTGATTCCAAATTAGTATTAGCAATATGATATATATATATATATATATGTTATATACTGACACTTTCAGCTGTAGCAGCCTTTCGGTGCCTAGTTGCCATGCTACCTGAAGGAATTACGGGGGCTGAGATGCTGCCAGGTTGCCCAGGCCCAGACAGGGGAAGTCGAGAGACAGAGGTCGGGTTCGGACCTTCCGGTCAATAAACTCGCTCTTTAACCCCTCTTTCCACGCAATGTCACAGGCTCATATTATGCTCGGATGGCAAAAGACGTTTTTAGGTGCCGATGTCCCATTCGTTGAAATGAACTTGGTTGAACGGCTGTCAAGGTCTCCAGGTCTGATACCTCTGCATCTCTTCACCTATATATAGTTGAAGTCCACGGTGTACGTCAGTGGGACGAGAACAGAGGAGAAGCTGAAATGATCCGTTACAGTAAGGTATCGAAGAATACTGGAGGCGCCGCTCATAAAAGTTCAGGGCTCACTATGGAAAAAGGTATCGTGTGTGCTGAGCAACTTGAACACTTCCATTTTTCAAAATTCTATCTAATTCCACATCTCATTCCCATCTTAAGACAAACAAGACGGTTTGCGCAGATTAGAGCAAAGCGACTCAGAACATCACACCAACTAGCGGGATTTCCCTAAGAGAATAGATGTCCTTAACAAACGGTTTCTTTTTGAATTAGACCATGGGGCTTGTATTTGCTAGTTTTATGGGGATGGTAGAGTTCTTCGTTCCGTGTTCGTTGATGTCAGCTTCGGAGTGAATTCTACATACAACTTCAGCCCAAAAGGACTGTTGAGGTAGCGTCCGCTCCCAAATGAAACCAGTAGAGATGTATTTTCATAAGGAAACTACTCACAAGGTTACTGAAAACTCTTCGACAGCCCACGACTGGTTTCGCCCTGCTTGGGGCTCATCAGGTAGGCGCAGTCTCCGAGTTTCCGTCAACCTTATGTTCTACTTGAACCCAAATTGTACTGTTTTCGAGAAATACACACACTGTAACCCACAGAACCGGCCAAGATTGTTCTTGTGCCCGGGATTCGTTCGACAAAGTGCGTTGCACGAGGCTACTGTCAATCCGCGGTGTCACTATCTTCTAGATACACGGAAGTGATCCTTATAAATTCAAATCTATATTTCGTCCCGTCACTGAAGTTGACCTAGGATGAATAGCCGAAAGGCCGTTTTTTTCCTTATTGGGAATCATGACCAGTGCGTATCTGGCGAAACTCAGATTTTCAAACCGACAACATTCGGGCTAGTGGTCCAACACTTAACCGTTTTGTCACGAGCGGCTGAAAGGCAGTGTTTTTAGCTCCCATTTAGACGGAATGTATTTCTTCAATCACGTGGTCACTTACTGACTGGCTTTTCGAATAAGGATTTCTCGTTTCAGTGCTCAACCACTGGCCGGTGGGATGTCAGGTTTCATCCAAATTATCACAATCGGCATTGTATCGATGAACTAAACAGAATTTTCACACTGGTTGTCTTATGGTAGTACAACCGGCGTTGATGAACTGATGTGCCGGACATTCATTAATGAAGTTCAAATGGATAGATTGAATGGAGTACTCTGCGTATCGGTAGCAATGCCACGCATCCCGGCAGTTCTATCCTCAGGAGGTTGGTAAGTACTGACTGGAATCTAATGGCTAGCTTATTCAGTGTAACTGGATATTGTCAACATAGATATGGTGCGATGGATTTGTTTACTAGTCATGTGTAAGCCACCCAGGAGTTCCTGGATTGTGTGTTACATTATGCCAACTGAATGCATCTATATGAATTCGGCGAATGATCAACATCGCTGTGGATTTCACTCACCCAATTTTTGGTGGTTCAGCTGTTGTGTGGACGGAAATAAACTCACACAAACCCAGTGAACTAGATAAATATAAATCAAACTCAACAAACCGATTCACTGGACGGAGTTTTGAAGAGATTTTCAAATTACGTGCCTTTCGGCACAGCACTGGTCGGAAAGCCAAGTCCGGTATTCCGTATTCATTTTACTACTAATGAGTAGGCAAGATGACAAATATTCTTGAGGCTTCCGGTTGTCATCTTTTCATGAGCAGGGGTTAAATGTAGTCGAAGCACTGTATCACAAATTGCACAAGCAAATCCTGGAAATTTTCTCCAGGAATAGGCAATCAACTTCACCATTTCAGCGTAGGCTTACCACTGTGACGAAAACCCAGTTCGGCTGTTTGCTTTGCAACTGTTGAGTTGAACTTGATTTGCGTATCACTACCAAAGCTGCAGGAATAGTTGTAGGAATACTACTCAAAAGGTTGCCGACTACTCTTTGGAAGCCTTATGAGTAGTGTTCCCCATAAAAATATACTGCGGCGTTTCGATTATTATACCAATTGAAACAAGATACAGCCTTCTTGCAACACATTCGTCTGGGAATTATCATTAACCGGAGAGATTCAGCTAGGGTTTAGTTGAGTCTCCATTTAATGCCTAATTGGTGTGCAAATGAGGGTAGTTCGAAAACAGTCGCAGTATTTATACATCCATACACATCTCAGGCCCTCAAATAATTCGGTCACCTTGAAAAATTGTCCCCCATTTTTCGAACTGATTGCGCTTCGTCTAATCGGGTGGACACCGAAAAGATGCACAAAGAGATAGAACTAGTCTCTTTATAGTGAGCGGACAAGATTGCGTTGTAGTCTCGTTTCCTTACATCTGATTGGTTATCTGGGTGCTTCCTTCGACAGCTCTGTACTTTCATTGTGATTGGGCTTTGAGTTCTCGCTAGTTTTGTTCCACTGACTTGGTTGAGTGGATGACCTTATATTGTCAGCGGCCTTCTTTCTCCGGTCCGTTTGTTAGGCTGTTCGACTCTCTCTATGTGGTTCTGAGTTTCACAGTTGTGATTCTTTTTTTGGCGGCGGCTGATGGACAACGACGATTTTATTGATCGATTTCTTTGTGGAGTACTGAGCATCGGTGAAGCGGTTGAACGGATCAACTTAAGTCCACTACATGAGACAGCCAAATATATAGAGGATGGCTATCACCTAAGGGGCAGTTCTAAAATAATTTTTGAATTAACGGACGAGGTGATAATCTGTTCTTGGCATGACACTACTTATAAGGTTGATGAAAACCTTTTCGACAAAATCACGATCAGCTTTACTGCAATAAAAATAATTCACTATGTTGTATTTCACCTCAGGCGAAACATGAAGCGGCATCCAATTGAATGTTACAAAAGATTCGCCTGATTCTCCCCCTAACATCTAGTTACTATTTAAAACGAGTGCATACCCCAACCAGGTGATAATGTTTTTACCAGAGGCGAAACGTGCAACTTCTGGAAAATCCGCTAGTTTTCCCTTTTTTCCAGAGAGGAAATCAACATTGCACGTTTAAAAGGGATTGCCTTTGGGGTTAGCACCATCAGTCGGGGGTGGCTACAGGCTCCATTCACGCAAAGCAAACACCTCAGGTGCAAATGAGAATGGTGAAATTATCAGTTGGGGAATCCCACTAAACGAATGAATCCCAAATTTGTGGATATCAATGGGATCATCGGGGACCGTTAGGACAGATAGTTCTCAATGCATATAGCGGTCATGCTTCATTATCCAAGGAGTATTAATATTTGTGATATTGCAACGGCATATCAGTGTAAGAGGGAGTTGCTTATTCGCAAACACCTACTGAACTCAGATGGTTAGACGAACATGTTTTCGGTAAGGTCTTTTCAATTCATACACTTGCAAGGTTTAAGAGAGTAGTATTTAACATGTTTGAATGAGTATGGTGTAAATGAACAGGAAATTGAGTGAGACTACATTGGCTACCCATCAGAGAACAATTAGTTCAGGTCACGAATAGGATGACTTGAGCTAGTCAGCGCGGGTGGTGCTGTAGTTGTGTGTTCAGCACACGGTGCATGTGTGAGGGGAGGTGAGTTGGACCCAGATCAGTACAGCAGCGCACAATTGCAGTGGCTGAAGCTATCGCCATACGACATCGTGACCCAATCCTCTGTCGACAAGAACGCTTTGTTCGTGTGTTGTACTTACCATGGTCCAACTCACCTCCCCCCACACATGCACCGTGTGCTGAACCCACAACTACAGCACCACCCGCGCTGACTAGCTCAAGTCATCCTATTCGTGACCTGAACTAATTGTTCTCTGATGGGTAGCCAATGTAGTCTCACTCAATTTCCTGTTCATTTACACCATACTCATTCAAACATGTTAAATACTACTCTCTTAAACCTTGCAAGTGTATGAATTGAAAAGACCTTACCGAAAACATGTTCGTCTAACCATCTGAGTTCAGTAGGTGTTTGCGAATAAGCAACTCCCTCTTACACTGATATGCCGTTGCAATATCACAAATATTAATACTCCTTGGATAATGAAGCATGACCGCTATATGCATTGAGAACTATCTGTCCTAACGGTCCCCGATGATCCCATTGATATCCACAAATTTGGGATTCATTCGTTTAGTGGGATTCCCCAACTGATAATTTCACCATTCTCAATGTAAACGAACACTCCACATAAGTTTCCACCTTCCATAAGACGCGGAGCGGAGTCGCGAGAAAACCACATACTACTGCGCGCCTCATCAGTAGCATCATACATGCACTGTATCTCTCATGAGGCTTTGGTTGCAAGTGGGTGGTGAAATTTCCATCCTTTCGGCTAAGGTTTGGAAACTTTGCTACGAGCAGTTTCAATATTCTTGGAGTAGTTTTTTATACACCGGCAGTACTAAAATGTAAACACCACTTTGTTCCAACTACACTGTTCTCCAACAGCCAAATGTACAAAGGAAACCAACTCGCCTGAAGAGCTCCAGAAAGCCTTCCAGGTCATTCGAATTTCATTGGCTAGAAAGGAAGCTAAACGCTAGATCATCTGTCTGGCAGTGTTGTTATTGACCTGAAATACCGGATTTTCTGCAGGGAAACCTCGCTTTTATTAGGGTTGAGACAGCTCTACACATTGGTTGTTGATCTGTTCGTCGAGCTTGGCAATTGGCTTGCAGACGTTTCGTCATCGTAAGAGGAGACATCATCAGTGCGCAGTTGGGTGGTTTGATGTCTCCCTGCATGGTGATGAAACGTCTGCAAGCCAATTGCCAAGCTCGACGAACAGATCAACAGCCAATAAACTCACCCGAGCTACCAATATTTCAACACATTAACAGCTCTAGACGTCCCCTAATGGATGATGAAATGTGCTCGTTAGCGGTTGGTTTGTTGACTAGCTCTACAGCATTTGTTTTCGATCGATTTATGTTTGTTCCAAGTCGTTGATTGTCTCAAACTATGATGTGCTTCCAACACTTACTAGACAATTCCGGTTTTCAAAATAAATCTATTGATGTGACAGGCTTTTTCCTGAACTTTGTACCGGATGTGAAACATCCGAAATTCTATTACAAAACATTGGAGAAGAAATATATGCCCTGAGCACATTTTGATTTTTTCTCTGATTGGGATTAAAATTTCGTTATAGCAGGCTGTGCCGACCACATCTTCACACTCTCTCAGGTGTCATACCATCCACAAACCTGGTGTTTCCTTGACTTCAAGGGCACATTCTATAGTGTCAACCAAGCAGCACTCCTAAATGCGTTTGCCCCAAACGTTTTTGGGAATAATCCGGGCCCTATATTGACATACTTTTGACCGTGAGTGCATGGTGAGCTCTCTAAAAGCTTCAATACAAAAATTGGTGTCCGACAAGGATGTTCACTCCGTCATTGATGGAACAATGAGGGCGAACGCTGGACTGTCTGTTGCTGATGAGGACCTTGCCGATCTGCAGTATGCAGACAACACCGTTGAAGATGAAGATAAGCCCTGTTGAATAAACTGGCTCAAATGGTTAGAGCGCAGATTTACTGACCGGAAGGTCCGTGGTTCGAACCCAACCTCTGCATCTCAACTTCCCCTGTCTAGGCTTGGGCAACCTGACAGTATCCCAGCTCTCGTGCTCCCTTTGGGTGGCATGGCAGCTAGGCACCGAATGGGTGTTACAGCTGAATGATTGTGTTGATAATAATACCATCTTCAGGCATGCGACTTGTACCCACAAAGTGCAAAGTCATGCTCAAGAAGGTGCGATAACTGAACATAACCCTTACAACTCAAGAAGCACTGGAGTTTGTGGAAACTTCTACCTACCTCGGTGGTTGACTTAGGTCTGACGGAAGTGTGTGATGAAGGCCCAAATCACGTCTGCTAATTTGCACCGCTGGGTCTCAAGGCTACGGTACGGGTTGTATTGCTGTATGGTTGACGTGCTGTGAGGCTTCTTCAGGTCTTTGAAGACCGATGCCCCAGAAGCGTTGCTGGTGTCGGATGGCGTAACTTGGTAAGTGAAAAAACGCGTATTTGGTTGTTCAGCATGTCACGGGAACATCCAACACCGTCAACTGAGGTGACTGGGTCACCCACTGAAACATCATCAACTGAGACCAGTGTTGTTCTCTGTGCCCTCTTCCGAATAGCGAAGTGGACAACATATGCATTGCAGAAGGGCGCTCTACTGGATATAGTACAGTGGCGGCTAATCGATGTCAGTGGCGCTCTTGCCGTCAGTTTACTTCTAGATTGTCTGACTGAGCACTTGGAGGCACATTGGTATGTTTGCGACAGACTAGCACAAGTCCCTTTCTTATCCACACTTTCCTCTCTTTTGAGTTTTGAGCGAAGTTAAATGAACTTTGTGGGTGTATGATAGTGAAGCATTTATGTCAAGACTGATGATGAATAGAGTGGGCACCAAGTCGAACGCAGAACGCATTTACATGGCGTTCTGTAACGATTCTATTTGGTTCTGTCCACAAAATGATGGTCAACAAAGTTTAGTCCTAATGTACGGAATAGCTCAACATGCTAAGGCATTTTTGTAAATTATGGCCTGCATGTAAACTGTTACAGACTTCACTCGTAACACCGAAGGGGACTCAGTTATCTGGTGACCTCAGAAATCTAAGACGAAACTGGTAAACGTACTACATCCGCCAACGGATCACTGCGTTCGCTGGTGGCCGACCAGTGGCGGAAGCAGAGAGGGAACCAACCTCTGACCTGGCAGAAGGGTATGGAAGAGATTACGAAACGCTTGGGTGCTGTCGGTGCTACTCACGTGATTCCCACTGCGCCTGACTGGAGACGCTACATGATATGGCTGCTAATCGATGTCAGTGACGTTCTTGTCGTCAGTTTCTATCAGTATGAAGATGTATGTGCCTCGGAGTGATTCTGGCAGACTGGCACTAAGTCTTTTCCCCATCCAGCATTAAACCTCATCCTTCCTTCTCTGTGCAGATAGACCCTGTTATATCTGCTGATTCGCCAATCTGTTGTATATGGCTGTTGACCCGCTCAAGTGCCCAATGCCGGAAAAAAGACTCACAGAAGGGAACACAACAGCTATATTCAGAACGAGCGACTGCGTGAGTGTATGCGAGCGCTATTTATTGGAGAGACACTGTCTAACTTGGTCCAATGCTGACACACGCGGTCTGGCTTTGGCACGAGGCTGCGACGCGCTGACCTTCATTCTTTTCCTTACCATAAGGCAGCGACATATCAGTGTTGAACACTAACGCCATGCTGATGATGCAAAAACACGACCACGCTCGCTGAACATCCAGTTAGTTCGGTCTCCAGGTAGAGCAGTTCCATTGATGCCCTTGAATCTTTCACGCCCCAACTCTCTGTCTCGGGTTTGGCTATCGCTGGATTCACGAACTCCAGTTCGCATCGTTCCCGTTAACACTGTCCTGCTTTGTCCCTCTGCTTCTCACTTCACGAGATTCATGCCAGTAGGTTTCACACTTTCGACCCATGTATTGGGATGTCGAGGGTTTCGTTTGTCAGGGCTTCCAGTGACGCATTAAACCTCATCCTTCCTTCTCTGTGCAGATAGACCCTGTTATATCTGCTGATTCGCCAATCTGTTGTATATGGCTGTTGACCCGCTCAAGTGCCCAATGCCGGAAAAAAGACTCACAGAAGGGAACACAACAGCTATATTCAGAACGAGCGACTGCGTGAGTGTATGCGAGCGCTATTTATTGGAGAGACACTGTCTAACTTGGTCCAATGCTGACACACGCGGTCTGGCTTTGGCACGAGGCTGCGACGCGCTGCATATAGCGGGGGCGTTGTCTGACCTTGATCAACACTGACTCGCGCTGTCTGAGTTTGATACAAGGTTGTGAAGCCCTGCATATTGAGGGGGCTTTGCCTGTCTGGTCAGCATCTAGCGGAGCTGAGGTTCTCAGTAGACTTCGGCACTCAGTGGTTGTTTTCAGGAATCTGACCTTCCTGATAGTCCCCTACACAATTGCGAACGAAATCGTGGAATAATGAAAAGGCTCTAAAGACTAAAGGCCTGGATTACATTTAGGACCTCTATGAAATGTGGTCGCGCTATTGTGTACTGCACGAACCGAATTTGGCATTCAAACGACAATTGAACGGATCCATCTAATAAGTTCGCTATGGTTTCACAGAAGACGAACCTGAGGGCCCAACATATGGCAGTACATTCCTACGGAAAAACGTTAATGATCTCCTAATTATAGGACGGCTGAGTTTCGAATTCTGCGGATAAAACTCAGTTCACTGTACCAGTTTTCACTTCTCGCGCTTGTGCAGAAAAACGGAAGGAAGCTACGTCAACCAAAAGCTGAATCTCCATGCACAGTGCATGCACTAATGATGTCTCCTCGAGACGTTTGCAAGTCTCGGCGAACAGATCAACAGCCACATGATCGGCTACGAATACCTGAATACTAGAAAAAAGGTTAGTGTTTCTCTTCTAGGGGGAACTTGTTGTAAACCAAAGGATGCGTGTCAATATAGTCAACGAGGTTTCCATTACAAAATATATATGAATACCGGCAAACGAAAAAAAATGAGGAGAGAATTTCGAGACATACCAACCTTGATTAGAAATAACACAACAAACGATAAAGGAGGACGAGAGAGGCAAATAGGGTGAACATCACAGGTCTGTGAGGAAATGCAATTTTTACAAAGAAGAAGAAACGAGAATCCAAATGAGAACAAATCTCATGTCTCTGTGCTAACAAGACAAAAAAAGATGAGCAACGCAAGTGGGGGCACTGATAAAGGCCTTGGGTGATAGCAGCGGAGAAAAACTTGCCAACGAACGGTTAACGTTATAATTCGCCCCCCTATATCAGAAGGGGGAACTGACCTAATGAGGGACGGGTAGTTTTTTTTAAAAAAAAAACACACGGATCTTGGCCCTCACCAGAACGACTAGAGCACCACGGTGATAAATTGTTTGTGCGGATCAAACTGTCGAATTGGTGGACTACCTCGGTCTGAGCACCCTTTCGAAAAGTTGGAGCAAAGAGGCTTCCATATGCTCGTATTCTTTGATACCATGGCGCGAGGTTGGATAGTACTGAAAAAAGATAGGCGTTCGATGGGAGGAAAAGTGAGCAGTGACGTCAGTGTTTCAGACAATATGAGAGCGCATGAGAAATGAGACAATGTTGCGGAATATAGACAACTCGAGTGCGCTGCTTGGTTGTTGATCGGCCACACTTAGCGGTCAGAGTGCAAACGTTTCGTCACCCACCCAACCAATTATTGGCAATGTCTTCGAGACTAGTAACGAAATATCCGCAATTCAGCTGGGAACTGAGGGCAAACAGTGAGAATGATGGGAAGAAAGACAACTGGGGATTGTTCAGGCAGTAGGTACATAGCTGCATAACGTAACAACAGAGGATAGTTTCGCGTCAAAACGAGATTCAAAGTATGAGAGGAAATCGACTCCATATGCTAGAATGGAGACAGTCCAAGAGGGTGCTGTTCTATCAACGCCCAGGTCAAACAACTGAAAATCAAACTATTCAGCCGAGTCACCTATCTAGAGCAAAGGTAACACAAAGGAATCAGAGAATATCGCCAGTTTTCTCAAATATTGACAGAATGACTCGAGAAGACAGAATTGGGTTCGAATCGCGAACATTCAGGTGAGTCGCTTTTGTCCGTATTGGGACTGAAGGACGACTACTGCTCCAACGAGTGAAACACATCAGACACGACGTTCAACACCACCGGCTATCCAGTAAAAACAACTGTAGATGCGAGAAACACTGACAAGATGTACGGATGTGAACGGAGAAGGGGCAGAATCAGCAGAGCTAGGGGCAATGATCTCTACCAGTTTGTTGAACAGCGCGGCCAGTCGGAACCCAAGATCATTTAATACCACACAAAGTGATCCTGAAAACTCGACCTTGAGGAATAAACGCTTAAAGAAGCGGACTGTTCATAGACAGGATGCCTCTAAACAGCGGTAAACGGTCTGAACAAGAATAAAGTTACAAGGGTTGTTGAAAAATCCCTAGGGAAAAATAGGAAACTCAGCTTCTTAGGGAGCCCGTTCTGGGTAATCACGCCTCTAAGGTCAGTGCTTGAGCAGCTATAAGAAATACAATAATGGACAACAGGAGATCCCGGAGAAATCTCATACAAGCAAAACGGTTCACTCCCACTATAACGGCATCACCTATCTTTAAATCGTGAAACCCTAATTGAGATCCCAAATATTCACCGAATTCATGGGCTGGATGGTAACCCAAAATGAAAGATGGACGTTTTGGGCATGAACACTCACCTATTGCAAAGAATATTTTTGTTTACGTAACTCCGGTAAGAGCTTGTGTCTCGTCTGTCCCAGGAAGCTATTCGAACAATATATTGACTTTAAATCGTGAAACCCTAATTGAGATCCCAAATATTCACCGAATTCATGGGCTGGATGGATTACGGAATGATTGATTAGGGTGGACTATGCTCACCTATCTTTACGATTGACCAGAACTCAAATATGGGGTTTCGTATGAAAAGGAAAACGGAGGTTGCAATTATGAAGAGATGACTGTGGGCGCCAGCAATCGCCGTCGCCAGACGCGACTATAAAAGGAGTAGATGTAGTACCTAGTTCTTCCCAGGAGGAATGATGTCGAAGCCGTTTTAGTCTGATTCTATAAAAAAAAGTTTAGTATGTTTCACGCGGTACTGTTCCAGCAACTGCTGTTCAGCTCCCGTGCACAGAGTAGAACCAAGCCTAATCACAGTCGGTTGACTACCGTTGATCAAATAGAGACGGTTATGTAATTCGTAATCGCGGTACCGATTGCTCAAAAAAAAGATATCAAGAAATGTAGGCGAGAAATGTGCTCATTACGGGAAGGGACTGTAAAATCGAATGAGGTCCCCGAGGATTTTCCGACTGCCAAAAGTGCACGGAACCCTCAGCCAATGATCCAGACAAACGAATAAGACTCACAGGGTGGTCTTATTACCACCCAGTCAGTTTGACGTCGACAAAAGGTAATTTAAACAGCACCACCAGGTTTCATGAATACTGAGATACGTGTCGGTAACTTGAGTCGTATGTTCATTACTCGTGACCATCGTGCGCTGCCCTGGTGCAGGAAAGCTTGCACTTCCCAATCGCACGGGACTAGCTGAGTCCCCAGAAAGTGGTCCCTTGACTAAGAGGAGAACAGAAACCTGTGTTCGAGATTTTGTTACCGAAGGTACATAAGTCACAGTCCGATTGGATCTACATGGGCCTTAACAGCCCTTTGGCGGCCCAGCCTCCGAGCCTTTTACTCAGAGCGTGATAGTTACACACAGCTCCATGACGCATGACACTATACCGCGCAGGATTCTAAATGCACCATACTGGGGAAGTTACCATATAGTTGCTACGGTAACAACCGGGTTGCATAGCCATTCGCTCTATGGCGTAAGCAAAGCGGAATCGTACTTATCAGATTAACTAAGCCAAGATGCTGTGGGCGAACTGGAATCGGGGAACTCCCAGTCAAGGGTTCGAGCTTCCTAAAACTGGTTGAATGTGAGGACAAGCAAGATAAACCCCTGTGCCTGACGAATCGCCAACATCCCTCCTGAGATGAAGACAAACACCGAGAGGATTCTGAAGGAATTTCGGTCCCACCAAACGTCATCATAAGAAACCTTTTCATCGAATATCGAACCGAGAATCTATGCCACTATCCGATCCAATTTCTAGGGATGAAGTCTGATCAAGGGGCATGGATGGGCACGAACAAAATCGCTACGACAATCAGGGCATGGAATATATCAGTAGTGTCACACGCGAGATGAGTGGAGTTTAGCACGCAAGTGATAAAATTGTTCTCCGACTGAAAGCCGAACATAAGACGCATCAAGCCGCTTTTTCTACACGTCCACACGCTGGTTTAAGGTCGGTTTTGTAAAACTATTGGAAGCGGGAGCAAAATGACCGCTGATGCGAAATGACTCACTAGAAGTTTGAAGGGCTTCCCGCTCGACTCCAGCTTGTGCACCAAACGAGAAGTATGGACGAAGTGTACGTTCTCATCCAACGCTCCGTGGCATATAATCAGACGTACTTCGTCTGCTGGTAGCTGTTCCACATAGCGGAGCACATTTCCATTCCTTTTGAAGAAATCCGAATGTAGCAGAAATAAAAAATGAATGAATTTCACGGTCAGGAGATTTGAGCATATTGGGAATGGTCTGACTAGATCGGGGATGAGGCGTAATTTCGCAGTGCGAGGCAATTGTGTTCAAGGCAAACAATGTAGGAAGTAAAAACAAAGAGCGAACCCCAAAGGAAGTGAATCTAAAGAGGGGAACTTGAGCATTCGCACGACGTTTAATACCCTAACCAATGCGACCACAATATGGAAGAGCAATGAAGTCGCGCGTCTAAACAATGCAAAGAAAAGCCAACCTATGGGGTCGAACTTACCAGTAACCTATAGGGTTATCACGCGGCAGGCCCATATACCGCTCCGTATACGCTGTGTCATACAGGGTCCAGTCAACCACAGGCGACCCAGCTACGCTTGCGCGGTATACATCAGAGTATCGCATTGCCGCCATCAAACTCATGTAGCCACCTTAATAATGTGGAATAAATGGTGCACTATAGTGAGGGAGTTCGTAGAGAGATTGAATTATGGTGGAAAAGCTAGGAGCATCGGAGGAACAGTTTTTGGCCATGGGATAGTAACAGATAGCAACAAACAACCCTAAATACTTCTACCGGTGTGTGTGTGTGTGGAGGGGAGGGGGTAGGGAAATCAGCAGTGGTTGATTTGTCAAATGCTTTTCTGAGCCAGTTTGGAAAAGCTATGCTATCTAACCCAGCGGAGAATGTTCGAACAGCATCTTTTCTCAGCAGAGCTACTGCGTTCTACGCTTTGCTGTGGAGATTCGAAGTGCAGCTCGATCAGAAAGCGAGAAATCGTGCGACACTCTCAAGAAAAATTAATCTCGTGGACTGCCAAAGGGTGACAGTGGAACCCACGCCCTGGATTAGCTGTTGGTTACTCCACTGCGAGAAGTTAGGGATTCCCCAATCAGGTGTCGCGGACAACTAACTTTCAGTAGTATAGGAGGTGGTGAGTTCGGTACGCTTGGATGGGGAACCCCGGAGGTTGGTGGAACCCACGCCCTGGATTAGCTGCGAGAAGTTAGGGATTCCCCAATCAAGTGTCCCGGACAACTAACTTTCAGTAGTATATGATGTGGTGAGTTAGGTACGCTTGGATGGGGAACCCCGGAGGTTAGGACACAACGCTGTGCCAAACGATCATGGGTTTACCGACAATATGAGGTTCCTACAATTGGAAGAAGCAGAGAAAACGTGATCCTAAGTTCAACTGATGCGTCCACCATTGCGACCTCGGGAAAGCCAGGTACCTGGCTTTTGATTCCATATCCTGCCAAAATTTTCCAGAACACTTGCTGATTACAAGGACTTTTCTGAGAAAGCCCTGCGTGCAATGTTGTATTCACAAAGAGTTGGGTGTTTGTCCAGATAGAACCCGGGAAGGAATTCCATTGCGTTGAGTGGGATTTCAGAAGCGGACGAGTAGCTGATGTTCATACGTATAAACAAGATCGACAGGCGAAAGAGACTACCAGCTTCAAAATTCTTCCCACCGACTAACAGTCAAATTGCTGTCTAAAGACTGGAGATATGGGCGGCTCAGTGGACACAACGTGATCAAAACTCAGGGCAATTTCCCCCAAACATTCAAGGAATCACTCCGTGTTCCCTCAGAAGAAAATTGCAGATGGGAGAGTAGAAATAAACCATATTAGGATAGGGTATCAGTCCTGAACTGGAATTTACTAGCGATTCGATTGGAACCCAAGCAATTTTCTTGACAAGATCATCAAACAAAAAACAAACAGAATCATCCTATTTTACATAGACGATTCGTGCGGGTTTGAGAAATCGCCGCGCGGCCTTGCGGTCGTCCGTGAAAATTATTTTTGTGATGGAATCGAAGCTCAACTGATCTTGACATATCCGTGTAATGAGTATTGACTTCAGGACTAGTTACGTTTGTTCAACTGAATCACTCCTTCGGGGCCTAACTGCCATGCCACCAGAAGGAAGTACGAGGGCTGGGATACTGCCAGGTCGCCCAAGACTAGACTGGTCGGATTCGAACCACGGACCTTCCAATCAGTAGACTCGCGTTCTAATTACTGAGCCATCACACTCCATTGCTACATTGTCTTCATAGGTAGCAACATCTAATCCAATTACTGGTGCACAGGAAATAGTCCGTGCGGATCACGAGAAGTCAGCAAGGACAAACTCCCTTCTCTCAGGTGGTCACTTCATCGCATTGGCTGAACTAACAGGGTAATTCCAATGTGATTGAAGTCCCCCCTAAAATGATTGTCAAAAGTGATAGAGAAACCTCGAGGGACTGATTTCCTAATGGTGCTTGGCGCTCAAGCTAGATGGGCAGCCGCAGTGATGGTTCAACGCAAGTTACACTGCGGAGTGAGAATCACCACAGCTACTTGTGGAGAGATGGGTTGACAGGATGGAGACAAATCATTAGTGAGGAAGATTTACCGTTACCAGGGGTCTTGCGAAGGAGAGACCTGGGTCAGAAATAGGTGAGAGCGGAATGCACACACACACAACACCGCACTCACCGTAGGAATTCCCTGTGATGGCCACACGTGACAAATCTATCAGACCAGTCTTCTGTGCGACATGCTTCAGAAATGCCACATGGTCATCAAGTTCAGGTAGACCCTGAAAAACAATCGGTAGGTAGGGCATTCCAATCAGTTCTCAGAATTCAAATTCAGTCCTGTAAAATGTTAGTAAAGCTGTTCGAGTTGGCCAACAAGCCTCTGAAACTCGACAACAACAATTTGGATGACAACTGGGGACGGGTGGAAGAAATCAGGTGCTCTCTGCCCGAGGGCGCACACACACACACAGACACCAAAAGAACGCTGGTTCTTGTCGCCGATTTGCGGTTTTTCATGAGTGAGTGAAGGTTGTTAATGCATAATTCAGTTGGTTCTTGTGAGTGAAGGTTGTTAATGCATAATTCAGACAAAACGCTTTATGGTTTTCTCCCCCAGCAAGACAGTATCCATCCAGAAGTCATCACGCAGAACCGTCAACGAAAATACGATATGCAAAGCATGTTTGCAGCTGCGCGATGGGATGTGACTAGGTCACGTGACTATTTAGGATGAAAGCTGATGGACTAGCAGCGGCGCCTGATAAAATTAGGAATTACGATAGTCTTAAGTAGAGTACTTTGTCGAGGAGCTTTGAAGCGCAGAGATGGGTTGCGGCATTGTCAGTACCAGACGCAACTGTGGCGCCAATTTGGAAAACTGACCGAAAGCCATAGATAGGTTGACAATAGTATCAAACAGGTGGAATCCTATCCAATCCGTTTGATTCACCAGTAGGTGATGGGGATTCCGGTGTGTGTGTGTGTGGTGTCAAGGGGAATCTTAGATCTCTGGCTGATGAGCATATCGTGTCCACATTGGACACGTCGCAAATCAGGGTTCCAATCAGCCATCTGCATATGACAGCGACAGGTGGGATAAACCAGGTGGAAGCAGCCAACGACTTAAAAGCAATTCTTACCCATTCGTTCAGCACCCTTTCGGTGCCTAGCTACCATGCCAGCCTAAGGAGGCAAGGGTGCTGGAATAACTCCAGGTCGCTCCAGCCTAGACGGAAGAAGTCGGGATGAAGAGATCGGGTTCGAACCACGGACCTTCCGTCAGTAAATTCGCGCTCGCCGGGTTCAAACCCTCACTTATGACCAGGGTTAGTATGGGAAGACATTTCTGGTGTATTGAGTTGACTACAATCGTTCTGTTCAACGACTCTAACATTTCCCATTTCCTTGTGTGTTGCATTTGATCGTCCGAAGACCAGAAGCCTAACGTCGATCAGAAGACCTTGAGAACGTCAGTAGTATTATGGTTCTATGAAACATCTCATTTAATTGGGTTTCCGATTGCATAGATATCGGTGCTGGTCATACGCTGTACACAAATAAAACTTAAGATGCTCGCTCAGTCAGCATTCGCCGCATCAGAACTCGCTACGTTAAAAAAGCTGTCACTAGCAAGCCATGGGAGGAGCGAATTCGATAGTTGGCTGTCTGAAGGTGTTGATCAACCTTGTCAAATTATTTGCACAGTCCCGATGTATTGAAAATACTATGTTCAGCGAACGTATATATTTTCAAAAAAGCCTCAGCTGCCCTTTTACAGTGGCGGTATAATGAACAAGCATTAGAAGAATGCAGGAATGCCTGGTCAGGTGACTAGAGTGGCATTCGTTCTAAGTTGATGGATCGATGATCGGTTCAATCGAGTTGATTAGGTCATTCGCTTCGGTACGCACAGAGTTGAACTCAGCGTTCAAAAAGCGTTCAGCATCAACTTACACACTATTTTCGGTCGATCGTTTGGGACCCGATAAATGAAACTAAATGAGTGAGTCGGGTCGCTTGTACACGGTGTAGAATTGCCATGTTTCTCGACTTCTTAAATCCGAAACATTACGAATAATGTTCTCTGCTCCCGATATACTGGCCAAAGGCTTTGGTTGAGGACCCTAATCGTCCTCCTGTCTAGCCGCAGCATGGAAAGTGCTGCCTGACACTGACATTACATAGTTAACACTGTCTACAGTTCGAAGACACAGATCGGTTCACGGTGTATCAAAGCCTGAAGGGGCAGTCTACTGACTAACTGTACAGTAGTGTTTTGCATGACGTTGCTCTCCAGAAACTAAGCTCAGGACGCCCGAATTTCTTGGGGGCCAGCACTATCCAGGATTGTTGAAGCCTGTTTCAAAGACTGACCATCATAGCAAGCTGCGTCCCCGATCCTCCAACAGACGCTTTTTATAGGTCCTAGCCACGAATTCTTGACGAGAGCTGGAGCCCCGAATGACATCAAACGCAGTATTTTCGGCAGGTTTGAATTAGGACAACTTTTGACATCGAAATTTATGACACAGGTTTTGAGTACATGAGGAAGCATCTGCCAGTCCGGTACCTTAGTGATGGCCGGGATGCAGTACGAACGATGGCAGTGTCCGTTGGACACTACGAAAACCGACAGCACATGAGGGGCAAACAACATGCTCGTTAAGGTAAGATTCAAACTGCAATTAGCTGGTCAGGACAAGTTACAACCCACAAAATTGCTGGAAAGGCGAATGTAACTCTAAGATAGATCAGTAGTCAGCCGATCGCGAACTAGCCATCCCCTGGTTGAGCATGACCTAGCCGGTGTATCCAACCTCAGATTCACATCGTATTGCCTGGACCTCCAATAGTTAGCACGGGAACGTAGCACCAATCCTTCCAATTCGCGCAACTTACTTCACCACGCTATTCACTCAGAAATCGTTCAGCTGTAGCACCCTTTCGGTGCCTAACTGCCATGCCACCTGAAGAAGCACAAGGGCTAGGATACTGCCAGATTGCCCAAGCCTAGACAGAGGAAGTCGAGAGGCGGAGGTCGGGTTCGAACCACGGGCCTTCCGATCAGTAAATTCGCGCTCAAACCATTTGGGCCATCTCATCCCCCCATTCACTCAGTCAGAACTAAAAAGATGAAATATTGAGCAGAAATGTGCCTCAGAAAGGACAAAACTGCATATGTCCTCCGAAATACCCCGCATTAAACCATCATACAGAACAGCTGACGATCATCATAAACTCGAAGTATCTGACCCATAGTACTTACCGTGAATACTGGGAGTGTGTTAAAGTCACATAGTGTCTAGCAAAGGCATCAATAAATGCTGCTATGATAGCATAGCCCTTCTGAAATTAATTCGACCACGCCGACTGCAATGGTTTGGACGGGTCTTCCATAAACTGTAAAACCGTCCCTGCTCAAAATGGAGCTGTCGCACCGGAAAAATAAACAATCAGGGGATGGCGTTAGACTACTATGTTTCCAAGCCGTTCAGAAAAAAAAACGTTCAGCTGTGGCACCCTACGGTGTTGCCTAAATGCCATGCCACCTGAAGGCTGCAAGAGGGCTGGGATACTGCCAGGTTGCCCAAGCCTAAACAAGGGGGCTTCCATGTCGCCCTATGCCCCCGCCGTTGCACTCCGAACTAAAGCACCTCGGGATATCCGCGAAACCGAATCGTTCCTCTTCAGCAGAAAAGCGCCGTAAAGTAAAAAAGAACGTACCAACTGATTTTTTATATGTCCTGCAAATTGAATACCCCGGTTGCTTGATCCTCGACAATCGCACAAGAAAACAGCGTAGCCAAAGTGACAGTAGACCAGAGCATGCATCAACCTGTAGTAAAATGGAGGACAAGTGAAGCCTTTCGAGTAGCCATTGGAAGGTCGATGTACTTGCGGAAAAAATCGGAAATAGGTAGAACCAAAGGTCTAACGAGTGTGGATAAGAATTTCATCAGTAACGATGTTGAGAGATGAAAACTTATTTGTTCGAGATTTTTACAGTTTGACGAAACGGTGAAATGCGTGGGATTTATGTCGAAATGGATAACCTTGTACAGGTACAGAACCATCGATCACGGGCCCGCCTTGGTGGGACAGTGAATCACTAACATCGGTACTTCATTACCGTACAACTATGTCCATTTAGCCTAATAAAGCCTTGCAGTAGAAAAAAGATGGGACAGAGAGGGTCTAAAAACATTCAAGGCGTCCCACACCTCCGACACCGAGTTACACAATCCGGGTGGAAACTGGCAGCATGGATCTAATTGGTATCGGTTAGCCATCACATCTTTGAGTACCTCCAGCAACGCACCGGAAGGGTCACGTGGTCCACGTCCAGGCTTTTCGTAACGTCTTTCATTCTCTACTGCTACTCCATCACATTTCCTCAGCCACTTTAAAATTAGGCAAGGTAAACAGCGCACCTCCAGGCAGACGGTAGCGGAGTATGCATGACGTCTGGCTCAGCCACCATAGCTTGTACTGCTCAATGAAATCCATGAGTGAAGACCCCTTTCATGATTACTTTGCTGGTTCCAACCGATTCCAGACACAGTTCTAAGACACCGGCGGTCAAAGATTTGGATATGTTTCCACTGTCGTACAACCGTGTCAACCTATTTGAATAAGGCCTTGCTCTGTGCCCGGTTGGTGGTATCACGTGACGGCCGATGTAACAAGAAATTATCTGAGCTGGGATACTTTTATGGCCCCCAGACAGAGAGAAAGACGGTTAGGGTCCCAAAACTTTTGGTTCGAAGCCCTAACCACAAGACAGTGGTGGTTGGTGTAAAACTGTCAGGGGAGCCTAAATTTTTGAAGACCAAGTCACCACTTTTTCCAGCCCTCAACCCGGGAGACCAGGAAACCATGTTAGTCAAAGCTCTAATCACTGCTCCATAAGGCATAAGAGGCTCTGTGAATGTCACAGAATTTACTAAAATAAGCAAGTGTACAAACCGTCACAGCGTGGTAGGGTCAGTCTCTCTTACTGGGTTATTGTACGGAAGAGAAAGAGGCTATGAGCAAGCAGAATGAGGGAGAAATGAGGCCGAATGATTTGAGAAAATGCTCAGCTGAAGTTGGGATGCCAATATTATGAGACAGTAGGCTTTGCCAAATAAGTTCGCAAATTGACGCACTACTCATTGAATGTGTTCCAGTACGAACACAGTTCGTATACATAAAAGGAACCGCGTTTGAGCACCGCAAGCTGATCGCGGATTCATCATCAGGGCGCCAGACATAGCATGCTAATCCCTTTTGCCCCTCCTCCTGATTGTAGAATTGACAAGTGCCGTTCGCGGAGCTTTTAGGCCCATCAAACTTTCCAGCAGCACCTCACATCAAGATACAACACAGAGTGCGCAAAGCTATCCCAGTCCTGAAACCGGTCATTCGGTCTTCTAGCTACCCATTATCCTTTACCTCAAGGCCGTCATCGCCGACAGATGGAGTGGTAAAGGTCATTCGATCTTCTAGCCGTCATCGCCGACAGATGGAGTGGTAAACAGTACCTCCAAAAAGCAAAAGGGGCCGTCAGCACCATCATAAGATTTTCGTAAAGGCAAACGCATATAAAATACAACAACCCCCTGATCAAATCGAACGACTCTATACGAACGATACCGTTAAGAGGCGCCACCATTTTGTTCAATCAAGCTGTCGTATTGGTATTTTCTTCAGCTTAGTTCTCGATCTGAGCCTCCCAAGCTAGCATTCACGTCAAAACCACCAAAGGTGCACGACGTATTTAACGCCTAAACGAAGTCAAGAACATTTGTACATGGCGTCCTATATATAGGGCAAGCGGCGACAACCTTCTGGAGTCGCCATTGGGAACCGGCATTCGGCCAGTGCTGGGACATGATTGGCTGTTGGGTCCAAACTTTCAACCAATCAGAATTCGGCTTGGTGCGGGACCGGCAAGCGTCCCGAACTTTTGGCTAATCTTGTGCGGGATAGGTAGCAGCGTCTAACTGCGAGAGGTAAAGTGGGATCCATGCAGAGTTGTGCCTAGCAAAAGTTAAAGAACTCATAGCAAAGTATGGGTTTTGTAAAACGCCCAATGGGGATCCAGACTGACTTGACCTTGATCACTAAATCCATGACAACTCTAGGGTCCAACGCAGAAATAGACGAAGAGGTAAAATCATTTAGAGCACGATCAAACTCACGTGACTTTGGCATAAGTTCCAAGCACAAGCTGAACACCAGGACCACCGTAAACGAAGTGAACCGTGGGGTAGCCACCAGCAGGCTTTGGTTGCTTTGGAGTGAATAGCAGACCATACAAGTAAGTCGACGACTGTTGCGGTGGCCTTGCGATTGGACTGTCGGAGAAGCCAGCGCTCTCATCAATCGTCCCAGACGGATTCGGCTGGTGTTCGATATCAAAACGTACCACCCTGGGTGGATCACAAGGACGCAATTGATTGGGGAGAACTTGTTCATGGGGTACTGGTGAGCGAAAGAATGTGTATATTCAGTTAGTTGTGCGGTAGGGCTGCTTGAACATCTTCAGTGAGGTTCAAAAAATATATCAAGCAGGTAGTGTCCATCAACTACAATCCCATTAAAGTCGACTTACTGTGATGTCGAAGCCAAGCCACATGTATCATTGCCAGATTTTTGCCGCAAGCCGATGATTCCGTCAGAGTGTGGTGTATCTTAACCACTTGGACTCCGGTAGTTCGGTTTAAACTGCTTGAGGACACCACTGCCCATCCAGAAGCTGGATCAAAAGCCGAAAGTTTGAAGGACAAGGGATAAGACGTGGTTCCGGACACAGGGAAATATGGATCGTAGCAGGACTCTTCATCTGTCGGGGCTCCGTAACCAGGTGACGGCTGCACATCACCAAACTGTGCGTCCGGTTTAAGAGGAGTCAGTCGGGTTAGTTTCCCGCGCGTACCACTCGCGTAACTCACTGCATAGCTGGATGGAAAAGAGGGAATGTGCTCACGACCTACGTCAAACTTTTTAAGTAACCTGGTCATTAAACGGACAGCAGGCGGAGAGGTAATCGATGCGAATAACGTTCGACAATAGACCAAAGAACGACCCAAGAAGCTACTTGACTATGAGTTATTGTCTAGAACGAGGTAGAGTCCACAAGGAGGATCTTTACGTTGATTTGTGCAGCAGAGGACGCTTTATTGATTACAACTAAAGCGCCACGGGATGTGTTGATATTACCCTGAACAGAACACACAGCACTGCAGGTTAGCAGAGATGGCCCAAGTGGTTAGAGCGCGAATTTACTGACCGGAAGTTCAGTGGTTCGAGCCCGACCTCTGCCTCTCGACTTCCTCTGTCTAGGCTTGGGCAACCTGGCAGTATCCCAGCCCTCGTGCAACCTTCGGGTGGCATGGCAGCTAGGCACCGAAAGGGTGCTACAGCTGGACGGTTTTTGCGGCAGGCTAGCAAAATAGTTCGGGTTGGTTTTACAGAATCTGGTGAATTGATGCGCGAACCTGCAAAAGCACACATCTAAGTGATTACGTTCCCTGTTCGGTCAAACGGTTATTCATCGGTATTTGCGAGGAAACATTGTGCGGTAGGGCTGCTTGAACATCTTCAGTGAGGTTCAAAAAATATATCAAGCAGGTAGTGTCCATCAACTACAATCCCCTTAAAGTCGACTTACTGTGATGTCGAAGCCAAGCCACATGCATCATTGCCAGATTTTTGCCGCAAGCCGATGATTCCGTCAGAGTGTGGTGTATCTTAACCACTTGGACTCCGGTAGTTCGGTTTAAACTGCTTGAGGACACCACTGCCCATCCAGAAGCTGGATCAAAAGCCGAAAGTTTGAAGGACAAGGGATAAGACTGTGTTCCGGACACAGGGAAATATGGATCGTAGCAGGACTCTTCATCTGTCGGGGCTCCGTAACCAGGTGACGGCTGCACATCACCAAACTGTGCGTCCGGTTTAAGAGGAGTCAGTCGGGTTAGTTTCCCGCGCGTACCACTCGCGTAACTCACTGCATAGCTGGATGGAAAAGAGGGAATGTGCTCACGACCTACGTCAAACTTTTTAAGTAACCTGGTCATTAAACGGACAGCAGGCGGAGAGGTAATCGATGCGAATAACGTTCGACAATAGACCAAAGAACGACCCAAGAAGCTACTTGACTATGAGTTATTGTCTAGAACGAGGTAGAGTCCACAAGGAGGATCTTTACGTTGATTTGTGCAGCAGAGGACGCTTTATTGATTACAACTAAAGCGCCACGGGATGTGTTGATATTACCCTGAACAGAACACACAGCACTGCAGGTTAGCAGAGATGGCCCAAGTGGTTAGAGAGCGAATTTACTGACCGGAAGGTCAGTGGTTCGAGCCCGACCTCTGCCTCTCGACTTCCTGTGTCTAGGCTTGGGCAACCTGGCAGTATCCCAGCCCTCGTGCAACCTTCGGGTGGCATGGCAGCTAGGCACCGAAAGGGTGCTACAGCTGGACGGTTTTTGCGGCAGGCTAGCAAAATAGTTCGGGTTGGTTTTACAGAATCTGGTGAATTGATGCGCGAACCTGCAAAAGCACACATCTAAGTGATTACGTTCCCTGTTCGGTCAAACGGTTATTCATCGGTATTTGCGAGGAAACAGATGTTCCAAGCCAGACGGCATGTCATCGGTTCACAGAATTAATATCTTCCTGTGCCTTCACCTCAGAACAGACAGCCGATGGATTGGTAGAGTCACCTGATGCTATGCAATACATAACCCCACTTAAATCCACCAGCCAGGGTATCTCTAACTCTGCCCCACAAAAGCCAAATGACTGAGTGCTTCCGGAAATATATTTTGAAATATTGATAGCTCGGTTTGGTTAATTGGTTGTTAGATTATTCGCCGAGCATCGCAGTTGGTCGACGAGTGTTTCGTCATCAATCATGAAGAGGACATCAGTGATGAAACATTTCCAAGCAAATTGCCAAACTCGACGGACAGCCACCTGATCTAAAGCCAACTTACCGTGAAAACGAAACCAAAATGGACAATCCATGTCCATCTCATAAGGGCTAATCACGGGCAAAGATCGATTTTGGTATTCTCATATGGCTGCCCTTATGAGGAAGATAGCTCAACCGTAAATGAGACTACCCACTATCTTGCTGAAAGCTCACGACCGGTTTCACCCTTCTCGGAGCTCATCAGATAGGTGCAGTTTCCGAGTTTCTGTCACCCAAAATAATAAGCGAGAGATTCAGGTAAGTCTCCCGTGCACATCAAACTGGTAGCCGTACCAATTATCATGAAAATCTACGGAAGTACACGATAAACACAGAATTCGGGAAGCGCAGATATGCCCGTAAGTTCCATCAGTTTAAACGGATCAAAAACAAATCAAAACGAGAAAATACAGTTCGATCAGCTGATCGCATCTTGTTTAGCAGCTGAGCCCTGAACAACTGGAGCTTTTAAGCTGTGTGGTTGTACGATAAGTATAATCTATTGTGTTCGAAGCAGTTCTCAAGTGTGGGCACTAATGACGCTAACAAGGACATCTTGACAAGTACAGATATCAATACACAGATATCTCAATCCAATCAGATAACAGTGAACTGGTTAAAACATCGTTCCAGAAGGGCTTGGTAAACAGCCAGTAGTTTTTGGCCGGGCAGCGTTTCGTTTTTTGACATAAAAACTTCGTCAGTTCAAGTGAGCCAGGTTTTAATGCCGACGGAGAACCAATCAGCAAAACCTCTTTCGAAACGTTGCCCAGTTAAAAACTACCGATTGTGTGGCAAGCCCCTCTGAAACGATGACTTCCTAATCGGCTCCAAACTTTCCCCAACTGATTAGTTAAGACATCGTTTTTCAAGTGTTGTTGTTCCCCTTGCTTTCCAATACATATGGAGAAACGAGCGTACACTTGGTACACGGTGTATAGCTGCATTGAACCCCGGAGGCGATAATTTACTCGCCAGATGAATTTGACAAAGACAGATGTGGGGTGAAAAACAAGTCAACTGTAACTCACATGTGTCGTAGAAGTGGATGCTCGCGGTTCGCCTCAAAAAAGACCAGTTGTCGATGCTCGTCAAGCCACAGCTAGTAAGAGAATGGGGGGTAAGAGAAAATGTGTGTATTCATTCTAGCCGGTGCAAATTACCAAGGTGTCCAAGGTACTAACTAATACGCGAACAACCATACTCACTCGATCTCCGGTCACCTCCCAAAGACCATTGGTCAACTGGGAAGTGAACACTTCCTGTGCATCAATGATTTCCGCTACTCCGTGGTTGGTTCTCGCGTTTGCACAAACGACAGCTGATTTTGGCCATGTTCGCTGCATCAAATACAAATGCAAGTGACCCGAGCGGTGGCTAGCCCAGACGAAAGTTATGTGGGCTTGCTGCACTTCCGTGGTTGTTTCAGCTCCGTCAGGACTGACGGATGTGGTTGCCGGGTGAACAGGATGCCAGGGATTGGTCAACAACTCAAAGTAATCATGAACCTGGAAGAAGAGTAGATTCAGGTTACCCAAATGGACTAGCATTGGGCGGCGTAGTATTTCAAGACTGAAAGCAACAGGAGCTTAGCTACCCAAAACAGTCTGGAGGACTTTGAAATCAGACTATACTGAGTCAGAGAGACATAATCGTCATGGTTACTACGGTTTGCAAATGCGAGAAGAAAACCTCAGAAAACGTCGCGATCATCACTTTGATGACAGAACCAATATGCACTAATAGCCCCATAGGGGGCGAGATGGTCCAAGTGGTTAGAGCGCGAATTCGCCGACCGGAAAGTCCGTGGTTCGAACCCGACCTCGCCCTCTCGACTTCCCCTGTCTAGGCTTGGGCGACATAGCAGTATCCCAGCCCTCGTGCAACCTTCGGGTGGCATGGCAGCTAGGCACCGAAAAGGTGCTACAGCTGAACGATTTTTTTTTCAATATTCCCACAGGGAAAGAAGTTAACAATGGCGTCGTCCGTCAGTCAACATCCGATATAAAATCATCCATCCGATAAAAGGACCACGTCCCAAAAAAGAGGGATAAAAGTCATAATGTACTATTCATAAGGTTGCTGAAAATCCATCGACAGCCCACGACCGGGTCGCCCTTCTTGGGGCTCATCAAGTAGGCGCAGTCCCCGGGTTTCCGTCAACCTTACGTTCTACTTCAAACCAAATTGCACGAAATTAGCGAATATACACTCATTTGCAAACTAATTTGGTTCTTTCGAGAGACTCACCTGGAACCCAGCTGAATCTCTCGTGTTTTGATGATGTTCTCAGGCAACTGAATGTGCTGCACCAGGCCGCCTAATGTTTCAGTCGCTACCATATTTGAAATATCGCGATACATGTGTAGTTGTAAAAGTCGCTTTTCCTAGGGATAACTGTACTGAGGGTTACAAAAAAAAACAGAGAAATAATTATTCAGAAGAGACCGCTTTGGTTTGGCAGTAAAGTCCTCTTTTCCTCTCACGAGAGACCATATCCTTTCAGGTGATACCTGAAGAATGGGATAACTTTCCAATAAAATTCCAGCACTCAGTTTGAAATACACAAGAGTTACGGGGCGATACGGTAGTTTGATGAACCAATGTAGGTGTATGCGAAACAAATGCGATCTGTTTAGGACGTTTGCTCAAAAGAAATGAAACATGAACCATGTCTCCAGCCGAAACGTCTGGTGGGGAAAAATTCCAGAGTTAGTGACAACCTCTTCGATCAGTACATCCGACAGTGATTATACCACAATCTCCCTGAGCCTTTAGGTTGGAGCTGCAACCTTCGACATGCTAGAAGGCAGTGAAAAAACTCATTCGAGTCATTCGCTCGATGTAGTTCAATATCTTTTAAGGCATCAAAACTACGATGGCTCTTGGACTAACACGAATCCAGTCAACTTTGCATAAGAGGAAGAAATATCGGGGCCTACTAATATAGGCTAATGTAAGCAAGCCGAATGTATGACTTCGGAAAGAATAGCCTTCGGTGTTGACGTTTAAAGTGGCCGCCTAAGGCATCTCGAATAGCAAGGCAGCTTTAGTCCCAGAAATGTGACTTATGTATGGTCGTGTGCCCACGTCCACTGCCGTGATTGTGTGCTGTAATAAGATACCTTCGAAGCACCCAAAAATCGTTCAGCTGTAGCACCCTTTCGGTGCCTAGCTGCCATGCAACCCGAAGGTTGCACGAGGGCTGGGATACTGCCAGGCTGCCCAAGCCTAGACAGAGGAAGTAGAGAGGCAGAGGTCGGATTCGAACCACGGACCTTCCGGTCAGTAAATTCGCGCTTCTAACCACCGGGGCATCTCCACAGATCAACGGTCGTCACCTGATCTACAACGAAGGGATTCGATCAGCCATCAGAAAAAATTCCATGGCTCTTGACACACGCAACACTTGTGATAAAGCTTCGTCAAATGAGTTTCGCCCACGGCTAACACTGAGACCAGTCAACGAGCAGTCTGCCCGATCATCTTCTCCACACCTTTCATTCACTCTTGGCGTACCCAGTTTCATGCATATTCGGTGTTTCGTAAACACTTCATGATTGTGCTCTTGAATTGCGGTCGTTGGAGCATGTGGTCGAACAAACCTCACAAGAAAACTATGGTCACTTCTATAATACTTCAGTGATGGTAATCAAGCTATAGCAGCATCCGTTCATGTCGCTTGTGTATTTCCGCACGACTACCAGCTCTGTGGACGGACCAAATGCATGCCCCACCCCCCCACATCCGTGTTGATTCCTTACTTCTACCTTTTATATTGTACAACGCGACTCCCCTTTTTTTGTTATTTTGGTCTGTGCCTATACCACCCTTGTTGTTTTTGACCTGAACATAAACCGTTCTTTGACCTTGTCATCGGACGTGTCGTTTAAGTTCACACGTGGTTTCGCTAGCTTGTAAACACGTGGCTCCGAGTCGGCGTGGACTTTGAGACCCGTTAGGAATTAGCAGTTCCTAAACCGGTGTATAGAAGCCGGCGTAGTCCCACGATTTGAGGTTTGTAAAGCTTTATCATTTTATTATTGTACTTATAGTACCGCATTTGTAGATAAACCTCCATTTGAAAGAATTGGCTTTTGGGGTTTTGCGCGTAACTCGACGTGGTTCAACAGATTGCTGGAATCAACCTATAATCCGAATGGTCCTGCATTGCACCAGCTACCTTTCCATGTTAACTGAAATCCAGTGACACTGTTATCAGGGCCATAGATCATGGATGGAACCAGAAGGCATGTATTTCCGCACAACTCCCAGCTCTGTGGACGGACCAAATGCATGGTCCCCCCACCTCCGAATGATCCTGCCACTGTTACTAGTGCCATAGATCATGGATGGAACCAGAAGGCACTGGCTCCCTGGTAAAACCATGAAACCTTCCGGACACCGGCCGAAATTGTGTTACGTCCTGACGATGACTGGATGATCCACGTCAATGCTGGTGCTCGCTCCCGGTTGCGGCAGTCATTAAGGGGGTGGGAAGCTGGACTGCCGAGATCCTAAAAAACATTTTGTAACGGTAGGTATCATAAGGTGAACCAAAGTAAGGATTGTCCAACGGAAGTTGGCTATAAACAAACCTACCCATGAACACGGAGATACATTTACAAACGGTTGTCTTGTTTGCTTCACTTGCAACCATCTTTCTCGTCGTGGCTTTCAGATCCACCTTCAGTGCCTCGGAAGCCTGCATTTCGACTTCCATGCCTTCTATATACTGGTGTATTGTGAACAAAGCTTATCTTGGCCATGATGAGTAGGAAGTGATGGATACCAGCACTGAAATTCATCGCATGCTCATGTCTGATTACACTATACTGTCTTTCAGACGATTTAAGGCTGCTGCCCAAGAGTTAATCTAAAACAGGATCTATAAAATGCGTCACACTTGGAAATAAAAGTATCAAGCTGCTATTGAACAACCAGTGCCTACTCACCTGAACCCAAAACTGCACATCCTCCTCGCGTAGTAGCCGAATACAGGGTAGCGAGACACGATGAAACGGTTCCATTGTCTCATCATCGTCCGATTGATTGTCACGCAGGTGTGTTTCATGGAAATTCGATGTGGGAATTAGGAAAATCTGAAGAGAATCTTGCAGCCGGGTCAACATTTGGCACCAGACACTGGGAAGTGAAGAGAGTAGAGCAAGAAATTCAGAATGGATCGGTAATCTAGAAGCACTTGAATACTGAGCACTGAAAACCACTAGTTGTAAGGAAAGAGCATAGTTCAGAGAGAGTCAATAATACAACCGGACGTACTATTGTCCATCAGGCGTCCATCCTGCCCGCACAAGATACTCGAATCCCGGGAGATATTGTAGCAGTGGTCGCGGTAAACATAAATGTCGAACGTTTCCAATCTGCAATATCGATCAGAGTAAACAAAAACCGTCGAATGAAAAACGAACTATCTCCCAGTGTGGTCGGGACTCAACCATTCAGCATTCAGACTCACAAACACTGTTTGTAAGAGTAAACTCGTCAAAGTCCGCTGTGAGAAACACGTACAAACTCACGGAAGGGTGAGGAAAGCTTATGATTTACGTCACTGCTACGCGTATCGAACCCTGGGAGATAACACGGGCGGTATATTCAAGCACAAACGAACCGCGACGTCTGAGCGTGAAAATTACGAAACAAGTGCGCAGTCACAAGACCGGGGAGAAAGTACAAAAAGGGTGATTGTGGGGATGAATGGCCGAAAGTTTAGTGGCGGTGGGGAAGTAACTACGAATAAACCGATGGAAGACGATGGAATAGGGAAGGAGTCGTAAATCACCCGATTATCAGCATAAAATACAGGTGGACAGATATCATCTGAACGCACTGTACATTAGCCCTACTCAAAACAGACACTCTGAAGATGGGCAACTCCCCAGAAGGTTCACTAATTCACCAGTTTTCCACAGTTCTTCCTATCCTGAGAGAGGCTATCGTAATCTTTCATATAATTTTGCCCCGAGACCTGTCTTTCCGTCGACAAAGATTCGAGCTCATGCACCTGGAACTAACCATCAGCGACAAAGATGGGAGTCTGTCTAAAAACTGGCTAAAAAGTTCAGCAACACGAGAAATATGCTGTTACTCGCAAAAAGTGTAAGAGCTCCACCATATTGAACAGTATTATGGTTGTCCAAGCCCAGAAGAAGTCGAGATGCAGAGGTCAGGTTAGAACCACGGACTTTCTGGTCAGTAAATTGCCGCTTTAACTACGCACCTCATATTGAATCGATAGAGCACACACAATCGATAGAGCTCGAACACAGGTGAAAAAATTGGACTGTTTTCGAGAACTACACTCCTTTGCGAATCAATTTGGTTTTCACGAGAGACTCAAATGAATATCTCGTTTATGATAGTTTACAACTGAATGTGCTGCACACAGGCTGCCTCATGATTCAGTTGGCATGATATTCCAGATATCGCAGTATATTTTCATACAGGAAACTACTCACAAGGTTGCTGGAAACTCTTCGACAGCCCATGACCGGTTTCGACCTTCTTGGGGCTCATCAAGTAGGCGCAGTCCCCCAGTTTCCGTCAACCTTATGTTCTACTTGAAACATGAGGCGGCCTGCTCGCAGCACATTTAGTTGTAGAATATCATAAACGAGAGATTCAGTTGAGTCTCTCGTGAAAACCAAATTGTTTTTTTTTATTTAAACTTTTACCGAAGGGAATTTGGTAAGTTTGTCTCAGCAATCAAGAGGCATTTTTGATGGGTAAATCGCTGAGGGTAGATTGGAGTGAACAGAAAACTTTAAATGGGGAAATCAAGAGCGAATAGCGGTCAGCTCGCTGGGTGTCGATGAACTGTGCCAAGACACACTCACCAAACCCTGAGCCTCGAGACTGAAAGTAACATGGATTCCGTTAATCTAACACAGGATTAGTGAAATGAGGAGGTCAGTTCTTCCAAGCCTGTCGTTTAATTTAGCATGACTAGGTACGGTGCTGCCAGACCGTCTGAAGACAAAAGATCGTCACCCAAATGTTCCCTTCCTCCGTTTTTGCTTGTCTTCGAGTGGATTACCGTATAAGAAAAAGCCAAAAGTTGAGTCTGAATAGAAAATATGAAAGAAACCTTTCTATTTTAGGCCTATAAAAGGTAACGGATAAGCTCTGAGAATCGATGGGGCGATGATAGTTCGCCGGACAGCAACTTACCTCTCCCTCAGCGGATAAGTCGAACTGACAAACTCGCAAGTCCGAAATCGCATTGGCACAACCTGGAAAATAAAAAAACCTGAATATAATATATAAAAACCGCAAACGATCGACTGACGGAACTGAAAATTGAAATATGTATAATCGTAAATTACATGAGCCTACTCTTGATCTGGCTGAGGGGAATGAAAGAAATTACGAAACGTCTGGATGCTGTCGGTGCTACTCGCCTTCCAGGATGGGTACCGCGTAATTTCCACTGAGCCTAGTTGAAGACGCTGCATGATATGGCTGTTAATCGATGTTAATGGCATTCTTGTTGTCAGCTTCTATCTAGATTGCCTGAATGAGTGTCTGGAGGCGCAGGCGTCACCCATCAACCGTTATTATTTTCGTCACAATAAGGATTCCAAATAAGTCGTGGCTGTATGGCAGAGAAGCATCTGTGTTTAACACTGATGTCATGTCAGCAAAACGCTCTCTCGTAAAACAGGATGGATCACTCAGAAGTCGCAAGTCTGTTACAGTTTACCGAGCGGTTGACTATCATTCATCACAGTCCAAAAGTCAAACAGTGCAGCGACCGAGCATAACACGACAGCCGTGCGGGTACGATCGGAATGGAGCTTGGCATAGTCTAAGTGTTAGAGGTGAGTTTTGTGGTTCTATTTCATCCCTGTTTAGGTTTGGGCTCTTGGCAACGCCTAATCCATCGCGGTTTTTTTCGGTTGCATGGGAGCTAAACAAAGCTGAGCAAGTTACGAAGTTTTGTGGCTGGTGGATGCTGAATGACGATGGAAGCATAATATGAGGTGTGTACTTTGCTCGTGAACCGCTACCTGCATAGTAGCCTCTTTCAAAGCTTCAAGGGCATGAGGCCGTGCCATAATCGGGCCATCAATGGTCTGAATTTGGGCGCTGTTCCGTGCTGACTCATCGTCCAATATGGGGTCCACGTGATCCCCACTGTGAATGGTTGGAGATATCGCAGCTAATCGGTGTTAACGGCGTTCTTGTTGTCAAACTTCTATCCAGAATGCCTGAATGAATGTCTAGAAATGTAGAAATCTAGAAATGATTGTGGTGGGCTAGCGCTAAGTCTCCTCTCCACCAACTTTTATCCTTTTCTTCACAATGAGGCTCGTAAGGAAGCGAAGCGTCAGTGTTGAACATGACGATGGTGATGAATTCCGATTTTTGGCTTCCAGCACTAATGTGAGTGAGTCAGGTCACTTTTGCTAGCAAATGCGTACAATCGCACGAATCCTCTCGTTCTTCGTCCGTTCCGTTTCAATATGACAGGTTGAACAATGCGTTCTAAATCAGATTGTTTTGATAGAGGCTATAGAAGACAGTACGGAGTAGAGTGAGACATAATCTTTCCTTGGTCAAGTTCCAAAATAATTTCGACGTACTGAAGCTTTGTGCAGAATGCAACCACATTGCAACACAGACAGCACATATTTAGTGTGCGGAGGCCAGCCGTCCCTAATAACCGAATATCGCATCATTTGGACGGATGTGTCACGTGCAGGACACGGGCTGAACGAAGGCGTGCCCTGATTGGTTAGAATGTCAGCCAATCCGAGTCAAGATTTTCCTTGGCCTCCATAAAGGGCTGTGTAGAGCTGTCATGCCTTTTGCTATACCGCAGTGGGCGGAACAGGAAGCCAAGGGACCGATACAGAGTTGCGCTACCGTTCAGCAAGACACAACATTTAGTGACACTACATATAGAAGAGGAAAGCATAGATAACCAGCAGGGGGATCAAGCGCATTCGGAGCAAACCCATTTAGTAACCAGTTAGTTCATTATGACAGAGATTCACAAATCACCACAAAATGAAAACCACCAGGAGGGTTCTGCATTTGGGGCAGTATCGGTTGAGTAATGCTGGTTTACTCTGATGAAACACCGGACTTTTTGGAGAGAATCGTGGAAGGATAGTGGTGAAGTCAGAAAAGTTATAATCCCAAACAAATTTTCTACTCACATCGGTTATCGATCGATGGTAAGAAATCAGGAGTAGGATACATGAAATTGAAACAACAGACACACACTAGCGTTGATCGGGTTGTGACCCCGAAAATTCTGATTAGCTAGAGGTCAGAGCGCGAAATTGCTGACCGAAAGATCCGTGATTCGAACCCGACCTCTCCACTTCCCCAATCTGACAGTATCCCAACCCTCGTGCTTTCTTCTGGTGGCATGGCGTTTAGGCACCGAAAAAGTGCTACAGCTGAAAGATTTTTTAGGCTATCCAAAGTATGTTAGCCTATGGTGCCCATTTGTTAGTTTAAAGTTGAACGGACAGTGTTCGCAAATTCAAACGAGCTCATGTTGTTGGATCCAAACAGTTGCACCACGGTAATGAATGAATTGGAGCAGATGAACTCACCAGCTTTCGGATATCGATGTGACTCGACAACTTGTCCGGCTAAGAGATGCACCAGTTCAACCGGCCTCTCGTCAACCAGTTCGTACAAAATTTGGTAGGTTGTACTGGAATCAGCAGAAACTGGAAATAAGAGGTTGAAAAGGAAATAAACTAGTATAGCTTCCAGTAAGTCGGATGATTCAATAACTATTTTGGGAAAATTATGTGAAAGGGTGACATGGGAGCCTAAAACTAGGTATGTAAGATTTTCACAACATCAGAATACGTTGCGACAAAGATTACGACATCAGATTAGCGGTCAAACCATGCAGCTTCCTGTGCCAGGCGCAACGGGGGGGGGGGGGCTACCGCGAACACGAATGCTATCTGGGTGCCTGCATTTCATAACACACCACTCCGAACACATACATAAAATTGAATTCTTCAAGATGAATACTGACCTGATCCACAGCGCACAAGCCGTGACTAACTTACCATCTGGAATTTAAGTCAATTCTGTGTGTGCGGCCGCAGTTTGTGTACAGCAACAGGATGCGACATTTGTGAAGTCCGTCCACTGTAGTGTGAGTGAATGAAGTAGTCCCCCGCTCAAGTCCTTGCCGAATATTCGAGGCGTCTGCTCTGGGGATGGTTGGCATAACGAGCTGCGACCGACGTGGGACACCGGTGCAAACACATCAAGGAAGCAGTCGACTTTTGCCAAGGGTACTCGCGACGACAGCCACAATCTAACAAACTAGTTAACGTTCAGTGAACCTAGCAGTGCTTGTAGAGTGCTCTTTGCCTGACCCGCAAAGTGGAAGTGAAATGATTGTGCATCAGGATCGCCTAACTAAACCGCCAAATGAAAAAGGTCACTGCTAAAAACTTCAATTATCTTAGAGAAAAACCTCAGAACCCACATCCATCTGATATTGATTTAGTTAGCTCTTTATCTTCAGAAAAAGAGAATAGGCGAGAAATGTTAGCTGAAGAATGGGACGATTAAGTGACTGCAACCGCCGAACTGAAGGCATTTTCTATACAATAAATTCTTAAAAGAAGCAGCTGACAAATGAACTCGACCGGGCGCCGAGGAACGTATTTTTGGAATTCCTAGGGTGCTGTCACCGTGCAAACAAGTACGTAGGTTTTATTGATCAACTGGCTCGCCAAAGAACAGTTGGTTGTTACGCAATTAAGCTGTCACGCCCGAACCACATCCGCCTTAACTGATCACGTGTAACATTGAACGCCAGAGCCGAACAAGGGACACTAAATTTAGACGTATTTCCACACACAACAACAGGTGAAGGTGAAACTGTGACCAGGCAATATCCGTTGTTGTCATTCAGGTTAGAACGCTGCTTGTCCCGAATTACGGAAAACACAAACATGACACACACCTACACAGTATCGTATTGTAAATGCACACGGACACGGGATAGTTCGGTTCAGTTCGTTGGCGGAAACCAATCCCTGTGCAAGCAGGGAAGTGGATTTGGTCTTCAACCATTGAACTCTATTGCCCCAGTTGTAATCTGAACACATTTACTGCAGGTGGTATACAAGGCACCGAAAATTACAGGCGAGATTGGGCGCAGCACATGCAAGTTTAACTGCAAAGGTTGTTGCTGTCGTGGGACCGTCTTTGATGCCACGAGGTGTCCGTTGTTATTGGGGGGGAGAGGTGGTACGCAGATGGACACATCAGATTTCAAATTGTGGTTGATAATGTTTATCTGAATTCCCAGGTTTGACCACCGAAAGTTCAGCCAGTTCATACACAGCTTTTCGAAGAATGCCTTTCCTGTCATCAAGTGTGTACGAGTTGTGACGGCTGTCTTCCTGGGGAGACCAACTCAAAGAATGGATCACAAGTAAGGGGCACGATTACGAAAATACACTTCGGTGAACCAACCAGAAGTAGTCTGTCCCGAAAAAAACAGCCACTCCCGTAGAAAGCGTAAGCAAAAGCGATGTAGGGTGGAAACCAATCGAGACTGCCTCTAAAGCAAACAGAACGGTTCGTGTACCAGAAGGACGTAAACCGACTGGCGTAACAAAAGTACATTCAACAAATTCCTTCAGGAACGTATGGAGTGAAATTAAGATGAGACTGATTCGTGAGCCGTGACACAGGAGAGAAGCAATTCATTCAAATTTTACGAATGACTAGATTAGAACAGGAATGGTGTACAAACAGGAATGATTGAACCAACCTGCGAGTGGAGTTGGTCGCCACCAGAACCCGACATATCGATCGAACTCTTCTTGGACAACGTACGGAGGCATTGCCACAGAAATGCCTTCTGCCAAAAACGGAGAAGCAATGGTTTACAAAATTGGTGCGCAGATAATGTGACATAGAATGAAGATGCTACGGAGTTACAAGGCAGAACAACAGCTAAAATTCTGATGCCCAATATGTTGCGTTCGCAAGTTTCAGCCAACATGACCGAGTGGTGAGTCAAGAAGACCTGTGACCTGAGTTGAAGACTGTTTGGACGCCAAAATTAGCTTGAATGAAATGAATTCCTTCCAGCTTACAACTTTGGATCAGAAAAAAGCATTTCATCGCTTAACACCAAATTTACAGGCGTGTTCTTAAATCAGTCTATGGGCAAGTGTTACAGTGCACAAAAAATCTACTTGAAGTACCAACTGTTACAATAAGTAATGCCAGGAGATAAAAACGGATCACTTGAGCAGGCTCGCGATCATTAAGGTGTTCAACTCCGATGAAAACTGTCCGCAGGCCTACACATAGTGAATACGCTTCAAGTAGCTCAGTAAGTGCGTCGACTTTCTCCAGGCTAACAAAGAACAGATATGCAGATGTCATCTTGTCATAACGAGACAACGAAAATCAAATGAGAATAGGCAGTCTCGATGTGCAAACACTATGCGACAAAAACTGACAAAGTATTCCGAACACTTACTATCCGTTTCGAAATAAGTTTGCGGAACCCACGTATTGCTGGGACAGTGACCGATGGTTAGCTGACCGAAAGCTACGCAAGCGATCAGATCTGGGTTGGTGGGGCACAGTTTTGGCTGTAGTGGCGCCATAACGGGTGCCTCGATCGGTTTGACAACTTCCGCTGACTGCTGCAGTAGACGAGAAGAAAATGTATGAAACTGGAGGCGACAGTTGAGA